AACTCTTAGAAGCTGCAGCTCTATGCTCATTAATAACAGATCCAAGCCTTTTTTGATCACACAGTGGTGCAGGTCTCGTGCGTATCTGTTACAGACATGTAATGATGTGACCCCAAGTTAGCCAAAATTCAGTTAGCCTAAGCAGCCAACATTTTTCAGTGTCTGGGCATCTGCTAGCAAAGAGAGTTTATACAATCCAGTTTCGTATCCTGTATCTATGCTGCTTTTGACCCAGTACTCTTGGATTGACAGAAACTCTAAAGCTGAATTTACACATCTGAATCCCAGCTGCTCACTCACCAGTGGACCATACAGGCATAGAAGTGCACTGCCTTAACCCCACTGTGCAGAATTCTCTAGGCCACACGGACTTAGAAATAGCCTGTAAACATATTTCAGTGGTACTTGAAGTATTCTGGATCTATAAATACAAATTACAGTCAAAGAGAATTTCTCAGTAATACTAGTAGGTAATGCATGTAAGAGAGACCATTTATCTTCTCCATGACTGGGAAAACAGTGAATTTTCATTGTTAATATTAAGGCTCCAATTTTCTCATGGACGGCATATCTTGGTAGCAGGATCCTTCTACTATAATTTCTTCCATTCCATTAACATGTTTAGGTTTACTTAAATCTGAACGTAGAGTCTGGTCAATCACTATTGTGGCTTACATGAAGTGTTGCATATGTTTGCAGCCACACCCAGGCACTCACCTTAAAAGCACATAGGGACAATACCACTTGTTAGCTTGCACAATGCACGAGATAACGTGATGCAATGCTCAGATGTCATTACTCTGTATGTGCTGGTCATGTCGGGTGTTTCTCCTGAGCACCACGTAAGTGCATGGCACCATCAGCTCTGCACAGTCTTGTTCACCCTCATCTCTACTGGGACACAAAAGGTTTGGTAGAAGTAATCCACTTGATCACTCCCTTTCTGCTCTTATGTCAAGTCAAGGCAAACCTGTTTTTTGCTCACTAATTCTCATGTAAGGCTCCCAGTGTATTCATCTATCTAGGACTTTCAGGGTGTGAACCATTTTGTTATTTATAGAATTACTTATTTTTTTACACAAAAGTTGGCAGGATTAAAATCAGACAGGAAAACTGCTAACATGAGTGAAGGCAAGAAATTAAAGACAACAAGGAGCTGAAACTTTTTAATATGTAGGAAAGGATAATTTTTATATCTTTTTTTTCCCTAGAAAAGTGTGGTTTGTTGAATTATCAGAGAGTTGAATGTTTATCAAGAAGACATTTAACATATTTCCTTGGGAGAGCAAAATATACTATGTAAATTCTAGTTGGTTTTACAATTTTTAAATATAATTATTTTGAAGAATAGCACCATATTTATATCTAGAGTTATTCTGACCAATATGTAATATTACTGTATAATATGTTGGTGTATTTTCAAGACGGGAATCTATTTGTCGAGCATAGGAAAGAAAATGTTCCTTTATAAATAAAAAACGTGGCAATACTTTATGTCCTGGGGAACAGGATGTAAATATTGACATGCTAGTATAAGGCAGGAGGCATGCTGATTATGAAGGAAGACTAAATAAATCTGTCTTTTCATTTAATCATTATTCACATAGCTGATAAGAATCCTTACCACTAAATGTAGACTAGAATGTTTTTGGAAATAACTTCTATTGAGTACTCTGGAGTTATACACAAAAAGTATACAATTATTTCATCCTCTTATCACACTAATACTGTACACTGAGAAAGCCACTTTCATTTGGAGATGAAATGTGGAATACTACAGAAATTTCTCAGATGGTCAAAATAGATGTCAGGAGAGCATACTGCATTTCTGTAATTTTCCAGGATTATTCTTGACCTTCCCTGTTTAAGCAAGGAAGAAACAAAGAAATAGACTGGGAGAGTTTGGGAAGGCACCTGGCACTTAAGACGAGTCAAGGATGTTCAGAAACAGTTGTGACTTTTTCCAGAACTCTGAAAACTAGTGCTTGGAAGAAATGAAGTTTCTTTCCCTCCCTTCCCACTCACTTTTACTGTTCCATAGAGTCAGTTTGGATTACTTAACAAAGGTTGTTATAAACTCAGCTCTTCATATCTGTAAGAGCATTTGTTATGTACATTTTCTCTGAAATAATTTTGGGGTGGCTACTGTTACAACATTCATTGTGTCCAGCACATGTGAGGCATCTGAGCAAAGAGTTTGCCAATTCTCCTCCCCAGGCCAAGACTCAGGAGTGTATCTGTTGCCTATGGGAAACAGCAAAGCAGTTTGAGGATACCAGACCCTGATGAAAAAAACATCACCTATTTTACCATGTTATTTATATATGTATGTTGGCTTTAGCTGAAGGTTTTTCAGGCTTTCTAACTTTTCCAGTTGCAATGTAAACTGCCAGATTAAAAATAACCTTTGGCTCAATTGTTGCAGAGAGCAAGCAGAAAACTGTTGAGGGTCATGAAAGTACTTGGAGGTCCTGGTTTCAGTAAGGAAGAAGGAAGTGGGCGGCTTATTCTGATTTGTTTTAAACAGTTTTTAGTAGAAACAAGGTGGTACTGGAAAGTCTGCCAGGGTTTGCAGTCCTTTATTCAAGAAGATAGTCTTTTGCTTATGTGAGTAGCTGCCTTCCCTGTGTCCATCATGTACCTTTTAAAATTTTCACCCACTGCCCACAGATATCCCATTCCTTACAGTGTTCTGGACTCTGGCCTCTCTTCCATGCTCCCTGGCTTCTTCCTAAGATGAATTGGCCCACTGTCGGTGGGACAAATCTAACGTGATTATTTTAAAGTAACTCCTTATGGGTTACATACAATCAGAGAGCTAAAAAAAGAGGCTAATATTCCCATGGGAATTTGCATTGAAGGCATTCCAAGCACCAGGGAATTCCATGTGCACACAGTGTAGTGTTGTTCTGCACAGGAGTTTCAGTACATAGCAAACTTTGTAATCATGGTTTCACTAGAGTCGGGAGTCTACCACTTGTTCAACTGGTATTTAAATTATGATCTCAAAATTGTCCTTTCAAGTGTGTGGACCTGAAAAAGACTTTATTTTTTAAACTGGGATTTTAGAGTAAAGGTAAATTAATACTGAATCAGTCTCCTATGTTTGATTCAGTGGGAATACTGTTCCTTTGTAATAAACCGCAAGCAGAGTGTTGTGTAAGAGGGACGCACGTTTACAGCTCTCACATTGTAAACTAATGGTCTGAGTCCTTACCCGCTTATTCACAGTAGTGTTTTATTAGTGCTACAGCCAACAAAAGCATATTGCTTGTGTTATCTATGCTACTTTATAACCATATTACCAAGATTACAGCAATTCATTGCCTGACATTTATCTATCTGACTGTCAAATCAAATATTCATGGAGTGCTCACTGCTGCTCAAAGTAGCCTGGAGAAATAGTTCTGATCCCTCTGGTTACCTCTCAGTACCTTCTAGCTGGTTGTGAGGGAGGTCTTGCATTATGCATTTGCAAGATCCCATCTCTTTGGTTATGTGTTTCTGGTGTGAGCACTTGTCATTCCTTTACTGTGTAATTTATTTGATGGTGTTACTGGTATGTTATTGCATTTGTGGTGTGCAGCATGATTTTGCATTGCTATTTATAACATTGGTATTAATGGTAAGTTTGGTGGTACAGTAAGAGAAGAAAGATTGTGATCTCCTTCCCAGTGGATACCAGCAGATAGGAAATAATGCATTTCATAATGGAACAATATAAATAAAATGCTACTCATTAATTAAAGGTAATTAACTGAAAGAGAATACAGTTAGTTAAATGCACTGAATCTTAAAATTAGCTAATTTTCTTAAAATGCTGTGAGCATTTTGAATTTAAATACATTTTAAATGTATGAACATTAAGGAATTGAAGAAGGCTCTTATAAATAGTTTTTGGTTAGAGGATTTTCATTAACCAAAGACTCATAGAGTCACAGAATTCCTTGTTTAAATAGGAAGGTCTGTCATGTTGCTAAGGTCTTTGAAAATGTCCAGAAGAGGTCAACAAAGCTGGTGAAAGGGCTGAAAGCAATGTCCTGTTAGGAGCACCAAAGAATTTTGGGCTTGTCTAGTTTGGAGGACAGGAGGCTGAGGGGTGACCTCATTGACCTCCACAACTTCCTGAGAAGGGGAAGTGGAGAGGGGGGTGCTGATGTCTTCTCCCTGGTGTTCAGTATAGGACGTGTGGGAATGGTTCAAAGCTGCTCTGGGGAAGGTTCACAGTGGACATTAGGAAGCATTTTTTACTGAGAGGTTGGTCATGAACAGTAACAGGCTTCCTAGGGAAGTAGTCAAAGCCCCAGGCCTGTCAGTGTTTTAGAGGCGTTTAGAAAGGCATGAATTAGACAAATAATTGTAGACCCCATCCAACTGAAAATATTCTATTCTATATGTCATTCAGCTTTTGGACTTCTCCCAATCTCCAGTAGAGACCTTGTGAAAATCTTCTGAAGAGTAAAAGAAATGTTTTTTTTGAATGCAGGTCAGTTGCAATAACTTCAGATTATTCCCACAAGGTACATGAGAAGAAGCAGCGTCATTAACTCTTTGCTGTGAGAAAACTCTTGGAAGTATGACATTCATTAGAATTTTCCAAGTATTTTCCAACTGTGAAAAAGGAGTAGAAAAGTGAAAAAGCAGTACCAGAATACTCTGTGGTAACAGATTAATAAGACTAATATAGAATATTTTACCAGAATTGTTATGAAGTATTAGTAAGGGGTTTTTGTATAGCATAATTCTTTTGATTTTAGTCAACATACTGGTTTAGGCTACCAGCCTTCAGAAGCCCTGCCTGTACCAGATGCCTCGATAAAGGTCAGAGGGGTGTGACTCACCTGTGAGGAGGGTGTTGTCACCGCCAGCACTGGGCAGGACAGTCCCACCTGTGGTGTCCCAATTTCCAGGGCAGATCCCAGCCGGCCCTGATTGGCCGCGTTGGCACCCGCCTTGGCACGGATTGGCCGAGCCTTCCACCTCCTCTGTCTCATCTTGCTGGGGCACCGGCACTGCCCGGCTGCAGCTCCTCCGCACTGACCACAGAGGGACCGGAGGATGCCCACGCACCGGCACTCGGTCGATAAGGTGTGTTGGTGGGGATGTGGTGGACAGGGTGCACACCAACTGGTGATGCTTATTCTCGAAGGATGGAGAATAAGTCTGTGATGCTCATCAGGAGTGTCTAGGAGAAGGAGAAAAATCCTCATAAAGAATGGGAATAGAAAGGGGTATACAGGAGCTAGTCTTAAACTGTCGGCAGGATGGACTTGCAAGGACGGTGTTTTTCAAATTATGGATAGGTATTTATCATATTCATTAAATGCTCTATATTTAAAAGCTTTTAAAACAACTTTTGTCTCTATTCAGAAGTTTGCCCAAGGCTTTGGAGGAGCAAACCACCAAAGTGCCTCATCCCGAGTCCAGTAGACTTTGAATGCAGTAGCTAACTAGCAGGGATTTAATTGCTGGCCTGAAGACACATTAGACTAAATATGGAAGAGGATTCTTAAGGTAGCAGCTCAGGTGTTGGAAAGGTGAGGGCCACATAGACTCATAGGGAGAAAGATTTGAATCTGTGATAAAAAAAATTATAATTTTTCCATCAGATGGAGGAACCGAGGATATAGTTAATTTTTCATCATTATATCCAATTAGAATTTTGCAAATAACATTTATTTGCCATAATTCTCTATGCTTCCATTTTATAAATATTTAATTTTTGTTTCTTTACATTCTTCATTGAAAAAATGTAAAATATGTGATGCAAGGTAACATGATTACATGGAATATGTATTGGAACTCAGAGCCCATGGAAGTTTTCTGCCTCAAGTCTGGACTTGGAATTTTTTTAAATGTTAATATCTCTCTTTCTCATCTAAAAGCTAGTTCCAAAAGATGACATGATGAGACTCATAGAATACCTCTTGAACTATTAAATCAGAGAGCTGATGCAAAGAGAAGGCATCTCAGCTGTGTTTCAACTCGTTGTGCTTGTATTTCTGGCTCTTTTCTAGCAAGAAAAAGGGGAAAGATTTCAGACTGGCCTTCTTTCATGGCAGAGTGCAGTTTCAGACAATTTTCCAATCCTAGCTAAACTAGGACTTTGTGCTTTGAAATGGAACATCTAATTAGAAACAGACTTTTTTTTTCTTTCTCTCCATGAGTCAGAGAGAGATTTCAACAACACAGACTGTTTCTGTGTTGATATTAAATCACTGTTTACCGCATCTCTTGATATAATAGCACCCACATGCTGTATTTAAAACTTAATTAGAGGTGGGCCACGTCAAAATCGTTACAAGAGATTGGATAGCCGCACCCAGCGTGCTGATACCAAAACATGATGCTTACCAGGATCCGATTAGAGTGACACTTTGATGAGGCTTTGGAGAGGAACCATCTTCATCTGCTTTAAAGACGCAATAACTTGCGTCTATCACTTTCCTGGTTGGTGCACTGAGTAGTTGTGACACCATGCAAGCCTTCATCATCCTACTTGGAAATCTTCCAGCATTTCACTGTCACCTGTTTTATTATTTGTTGACTCAATGGCTTTTTAAAAAGTTGTTGGAGTTCAGAGTTAAGTACATGAATGTTCAGAGTTGTGTATTCTTCCCCTGCTTCCAGATGCTTCTTTTACTTATTTCATTAGCACACACAAAACCAAATGATCTTACACAGTTATGCGTGAATTAAGATGTGCAGGTAGATTGTACAAATTGAACATATTTCTTACATTGTGTTTGAAATGCTTTAAAAAAATCTCAAGTAAATCTCTCCATTCTTTCTGTTACTGTCTGTTGCGTCGCATGAGGCAATCTTGTGGCAGTCAGCATGTAACATAGCATTATTAAATATTTCTGGAGATTGAACAGTTGTATCAGCAATTTTGTAGCTGGAAGAGTGAGTGGTTCATAAGATGTAATAGCCTTTTAAGTATGTAGTGCTATAGTTGAATATTTAGATTTTGAACATGGGCTGAAAAATCTGATATTAAACACCTGAGAATACTTTTGGGAAATATTTCCTTTCCTTCTTGGAAACAGTTTACCATCATTGCAAGTGAATTATAAAGAAAATACATTTTTTCTTTATGGACAGTCCTGGAAGACTGGTCTTTATTCTTGTCTCTTAGGTATTTTTTGTGAATTTCTATACTGGTTATAGTTTCTTTACTGGTTATAGTTATTGTTTATTAATGGGAAGTATTCAGTAGTAATTTAGTATTTTAAAATTGTTTAGAAGTTCTAGAGGACTTTGCAGAAATCTTTTATTAAGTCCTTTAGGAAACAAATACTTTGAAAATCTTTAAGAGTACTGTGAGGCATTTAACTAGACTTCTTGACCATCTTGTGGAAGGGAGAGTAGGGAAAGCAGTCAAAGAAGAGCATACTAGTCATGGTTATACCTACAATTTGAGAGAGCAAGGATTCCCTCTGAGCTCTTGCATAACCAAGGAGCTGAGCTAAATCTGCTGGTGTGACAATGAGGAACTTTGTTTTAAGGACTTTTCTAGTTCAAAGGTGTAATGCAGCAGACATGGCTGTTAATGGATTGCTGACATGTCATTGAAAATTTAAACTTCCATTAATTATTCAGTATTTTTAAACTATAATATTTGTGTATCTTATTGCACTTTTCTGTCAGTGTATATAAGTATTTTGTTTTAATTATTTTTCTTCAAAATACATGAAAGCAAAGAAAGAGCAGCTTTCTAGGCTTGCTTTGTTTCCTGTCCTGGAGAAAAGCAGATATTTGCCAAACAAGGCAACTACTTAAAAGAAGTTACTATGATCTGTATTGTCTTTTTGTTCCACAGATGAGGAGACACTCCTGCTTTGTTTTTTTGTTCTGTGGGATATTTTTGCCTGGAATCCTTGGTTTTCCACAGACAAATACCTCAATTGATTGTGATTCTCTGTTACCAAACTATGAAGCTGAACCACAGACATCTGCACCGCCATATATTATTGCTGTATCTTTCGATAACTTTGAGCCAGGAAATGAAGTCCAAGGTAAACAATCTGAATGACATAAAATCTTTGACTGTGTCTTCCAGAATTACCAATCTTCATAAAAATCCCCCCATTTCCCTCTCAGTCTAGATAATTTATTTTTAAACTTCAATCTAATTCATGTATACCTGAGATATTATTTTTTATGTTTTATATCTGTATGTACATACTTGTATTACTGAAAATGCATTCTTTCTTTCTTTTTTTCTTTATGTAATAAATATATCTTAACTTTATGCTGTAATTTTTGTGACAATTAAAATTGAGTGGGACAGCTCAATTAGTCCGGGCCAAACTGGACTAATAATTAGTTGCTCTTTAACTTTGTATTTGATTATTTGCTGTTGAATCAAGCCTCTCTAATATAAAGGGATCCTACTCATTAGTTATTCACATGCTGTCATCCTACAGGAAAAGAAGAATTCAGGGCGCAGTATGAGACTATTTAAGAGTGATACATTTTGAGTCACCCTTCTAGGAGCTGCATCCCAGATTTTACCACATTGCAGGAGGAGCAGCAATTGTGGCTTAAGCTCCCTTTTTATTTTCCTAATCCCAAATTGCTCTCTGGATGGAGCACCTTAACAGCCTTGTTTCTTCACACTGTGATGCCATCTCATGGTGCTGTCACACTTCAAGTAACTTGTGAATGCTTCTTTTTCTAGCCATTCATGCTAGAAGCAGCGTGGAAGAGGAAGAGAGTTGTGACCTGTCACATGTCTGTTGGATCTCAGTAGCTGAAAAAAAGCATTATTGACAAGTAGTTACTCTCTAGCTGGGATTCTGTTTTACTTTGACCTAGTAGCATGGATGTACTTCCATGGAGAATGATGTATAGGGAGAAGAATAGAGAAGCCTTAGAGTCCTGTTGCTGCTACCCTTCTTGGGAAAGCATGTGAAGGGCTCCTTTTAGGATGGGAGGGCTCTTTCAATGCTCTTCAAATATTTAAAATACTATTGACAGAAAATTGGGGGATGCATTTAAGTATATGCAGACTGTTCAGCAAGTTAAATGAGATTTATCATGGCAAAAATATTGAATCCCACATGCTACTAACCTTGCCTTTTTTGTCCCTTTTTTCCCCTAATGATGGTTTTTTTAGCAGTCCTTTTTTCATGCTCCCCACTGTAAGCACCTAGTACATGGTCTCAGGGAGCCACATTAGGACCCTTGCTTGAGTCTGCTGCAGTTTCACTGTGACATACCATGTGCCACTCCTACAGGTCAACCCTGCTGCATTTAGCCCTGCATTCAAGGGCTCCATGTCATTGCTTCTGGGACACCTGGGGAAATTAGTGAATTAGGACTCAAAGTTGATGAAAAATTGGAAGACTAATTATGCAGATGTTTAGAAATACTGAATAATTGAAGTATGATTGATTGGTCTTTGCCTTGATTTCTGTGTCATTCCCACTTAATCTGCCCTTCTTTTTAATAACAACAGATATCTCTGTTCATAAACCTTTATTCTGATTCCATTCTCTACTAATGGAATTAGCAGAGAAAAGTTATAATAGATCATAGCAAATTTGGTTATGTCTTTTGAAATCTAATTTCAGTATTGATACACACAAAGCACGAAACTGCTCTCTACCAAATTTTTCTGAGCTCCTTCAGTAACAAAATTTGAGTAATATTGATTAGCTCATATAATTATTAAGTTTTCATATTTAACGTAGAACATGGAAGCCAAACTGCTTTCTATCTCTTCAGTTCTAATACATTAAATAAAAGTTTCTGCATTTCAACCTTATGCAAAAGCTAATATTTTCTTTTAAAACAGAGGTAGAAAGAAATGCAATTCTCTTTCTCCTGTAGCATTTTTGACTTTGTAGTCCTGATTAGACAGAAAATAAATAACCTTTTTGTTAGCGGGGCCACTGCTCATTGAGTAGAGCAGAATTCCTTTTGAAATTATCAGTAAATCATAAATTTCATGTTACTTTACAGAGAAGCACCTTTCCAAATTTTTTCCTTTACCTTTATTGTCATTCCCCTTATAATAAAGAAAGGTGTTTTAAATGTTTTTTCTTTGAATTGTACAGGGCTTAAAGTAATTTCTGCACTGTGCAGAATTCTGCACAGTGCAATCTTGTGCCTTGGAGTGAAGCACATTGCATGGTAAACATTTAGGCAGTTCACGTGGTATATGAAATTTATATTTCTCAAAATGCCTGTTTTCACAGTAACTCTAGAAGCACTTGGAGATGCTGGGTTTAAAGGATTTAATCTACAAGCTCGAGAAATCGATGGAGATGTTCCTGTTGGTACTTTTAAAATTACAGATCCAAACACAAAAGGCTTGGAATGTCATAACATGACGGTATGTGTGTAGTCTTTGGAATATTTACTGAAGCTTGGATTTCTTTTAAACAATAGAAGTAGGGATCATTTTTATACAGCAAAGCTATTTCATCAGTAGAGTTTAAAAGATTAGGTTTTCTCAAGAACTTAATCTATCCTTTATATGTGATATGAACCTAATGTAGAAATTCCCTGTCTCTTTGTAGCAGGACATCACCGTTACCTGTTGTAGTAGAGACAGCTTCTGTAATAATATAGCTAAAAGTCACTCTTACATCTTATATAATTATTTGTACTTCTTTTTAATTGCAGAATTCAGCAGTAATTAATGCCAATTCAGATGTGAAACAGAAGGTTACAACAACATGGATTGCTCCACAGAATGTTAGAGAGCTTCAATTTATGTAAATATTTGTTTTTTTATTTTTTGCCTTGAAATTTTCTTTCTGTATTGTGATAGACCTGTGTTGCTGTTTGAGATATCCTTGTTCAACATAGGTTTTTTTTCATAGTTTGCTATAACTTCACACTATGTTAATTAAATTATTTCCATTTCAAGATATAGTTGTAAAAGCTAATGTCCTAAAGAACTTAATATATGTAAATAATTCCATTAAGCATAATGTTATTAATGGATCTTTGAGTAGCCATTTTTTACACTTTGAATTCTTTAATTACAACAGCAACAAAATACGAATGTAACTCCTTCCCTGAAAAAATGAAATTCAGACCTATCCAGCTATACCTTTCTTCATTTTGACCAGTGGTGGAATAGTAATTTGATGTAAATTCTTCTAATATAAATTTTTTAATTAGTGTATGACCTATTAAGTGATTTCTAAAAACAGGGGAAGACATATTTAGCCTACCTTTAATGCTACATTTCTTGCAGATGTGAACCTTGTAAAAACACCACCTACTCTAACAATTGCACGCTTGAAGTATATTGGAAAAAGCCTAAATATTTGATAATTTGCATCGTTTGAAGTGCAGATTTATGATAGGGCCAACTTTGCCTTGCTTCATCAAATCTTGAGGAATACCAAAAACAGGCAAAAGAATACAAAACTGCAATTGCTTCCACTCATTATTGCCATAAAAATCAGTTCACCATCATAGATGCAGATTATCAGAATATGTGGGACAATTCTTCTGGACATTTGAGCCAATGCTCCTCACTGGTGTCAGTGCTTCTTCAAACACTATCTTTCCCTCTTCTGCTTGTTCTCAGCATCTGTTTTAGTTATCTTAAAAGTTATGCTGGGTGATAATACAAGCCACTACAAGGAAAAGTATTCTGTGGAACTTGTACTGTATGCACTTAAAACCAGAACACAGTGGATATTCTTGGCTGGGGGCAAAAGGGGACAAGAGTTTATTAGTATTTTATATTGAAATACGCTGATAAAAAATAAATTATTTTGTTTTCTCTCTAGTGCAACTGTTGTTCAAAATCTAGAGAACTTTTGGGTTGGAATTCAAAGCAAAAGTCTCACACCTATGCATTCTGAGTCAGTTAATGCGACAGGAAAAAGTAAAAGGAAGGTATGTGTGTTTTAGTATTTGAATGATAGAAATTAATACAGTAATTAAAGTATCTTTGGCTTGATACAAGATATACATTTGTTGTCATTTATTCATTAACTAAGGCAAAATCGTTAGATGTTTTCAATAATTTCAATTTAACTGCCTAATCCTTTTATAAAAATGATAAAAAAATGAAGTTAATACTCTTTTTCTCCTACAGAAATGAGGAAAGTAATAATCTCTTGATCAAAACAATCAATGTCTTAAAGCAAAAAAAAAAAAGAAAATTGGTTATAGAAATGTACTGTACTTCTTATGTACAGTGCTGTTCTTAACTGCTGCCATAGTCCCTGGGAATTGTAACCGTAGCATATTCTTGAAAGGAGTTCGTAACATGTTTTTTGCCAAGAATTATGCTTCTACGGAACACATTAAACTTTGGCAGCTCAAGTAAAGGAAGTCTCCTCAAATCTACTGTATTGGACTGCAGCAGCAGTGATTTATGTGAACTTGTAATGTAACCAAGAATGAACACCTGTCTTAAATCTCTCGCTTCACCAAGTATATTTTCTGTTTCCTGTAATAAGCTGGTTTTTGTTTTTTTTTTTTTCCTGTGAATAATTTGGTAATGCTTCCTCTTCTGTTTTTTTCCCCACAGCTTATGATAGAATTAGAATGTAGCAAGGTAAGAGCAATTTTTCTTCAATTTCCCAACTTCCAGTTACCTCAGTTTTAGAATTCTTCTCCTACTGGTCCAATTGTCTCATGCTTCTAGCATGAAGATTCTGTTATACCATTCTAATTACTTTCCTAGCAGGATATAATTTATGCTTTCATTTTTTTATTCAGTTTTGAATTTATTTTGAATTAGTTAACATCAGTTTGCAGATGAGATTGTTAAAATGTGTAATATATTGTCAGCAATTAAACACTTGATTTCTTCACTCAGACCATCAATGTGAATTCAGTTGATTTCCTGTTTAAAGTAGTACCAGTCAATAAACAGTAACTGGAACCTGTATTCTCTTGCAGCGTGGAGGGACTTACTCAACAGGCCGATGCATCATGGTAAATATTCCTTCTCCAAAGACATTGACATGCCCAATTGCCCAAGATCTCAAGGCTTAGTCAAAAATTTCTTCTAGATATGTCTTTATTCCCCTTGTAACTGAATTTCATTTTCTTTTTGTTAGTTTATCTTTGTTGATTAAAAATCCAAAAACTATCTAAAGGGTTGTGAGCCTTGTTACTATTTCCTTCTGCATATTCTCTCTGCTAATCTGTAGTAACTCTATAATAGAAGTTTTCTTTTTCTCTTTTAACTCTTTATTCTTAATGTTTCCTTTTCAGGATCACTTATTTATATGCCTTCTTCAAATCATGATCTAGATATAAAATATAGCTATTTGATTTTTTTCCTTGGAAAACTTTCACTGGCAGTGCAGGGAAGAAGCCTCTTTTCCTTCTTTGCTTTTTAACCGTAAATATGCTAATGATTACCTAGCCATATTAGTAAAAAGCTTTCATCTGCTTTTTAATGATTGTGGTGGTGTAGATCTCCTCCTCAATGATGGACATCAAGTATGGGAGGTCAAATACAAAAGGATTCAAGCAGCAGAATTATGTTATTTATAACAGCTGGATTGCCACGGTTTTGAATATTTTTCTTGAAAGATCTCTGAAATAATTTTAATAGGTCAATTGGTGGAATGAATTAATAGAAAACTACTTTGTGTGTTCTTTCTTTTCCCACCAAGTAGAACTTCCTTTCCTAAAAATCACCTATTTAAAATAATTTTTCAGCAAGATAATAAATACCAGTCTGGTTTCTTTTCAGGTTGGACCTTCTGGTTCTTCTCAGAACAGCTATTCAGGCAGTCAGGTATGAGTTCTAAATTCCATCATTTGTATGTTTTCCTTCAGTAACCTTGAATGACTAAAATTCTGTAATGTGAGGTGATTTAGTACTGTACTGAAATATCTTCTGTGCTGATTAACCCAGATTGGCAGAGGTGTTTATCCAGCAAATAGTGTGTTTGTACCTGGGCTGGGTTCAACTACCTGCACTCCCCTGAACTCAATAGCTTACTCCAGTTTAATGTCTGTATTGCTTTTAACACTGGACTATATTTTCAGTTGAAAATTTGGGGCCATCACTGCCTAGTTAGCCTTTTAAAATTTCTGGGGTATACATGTCTGTATTGCCACTACTTTCACTTCATTAATCACAACAATGTATATTTGGTTTTTAGTTTATTATCTCCACTACCATATATATGCCTATTTTCTCTTTAAGTCTTAGATACCTTCTGGTATGTTTCCAGTTTCTTGAACTGATGTTATCAAGGACATACTTCTTACTACTTACTAGTGGTTATATGTATTAGTGAATTATCTGGTAATATTCCATTTCTTCAATCTTTATTGCTTGTAATGAATTACCAGATACAGAGAAATACAAATTATTTTGATACATATGCTCAAACCTGTTTTCCATATTTTTATTATATAATACATATTCTTTTCTAAGAGTTGAGCTTCTCATCTTGTCATAAAGGTACTTAAAGTTACTAATTTTTTATAAAATATAAGCCATTCAGTAGCATTTTGAAAGATTTCATGACCAGTGACAAAGCTGATGAAACTTATAAGGAATACAGATGATGTCTCACAATAAATTAGAATCAATACAGGCAGTGCCAGTGAACTGGTAACCTATTTACTTGCTTATCCCTTGCTTGTACATACACATTATCAGATGCACATCTTTTCATGCCATAAATAGTATGGCATTGGGTTTTTTTCTCTCTTGCCCATTTGAGTTTTTTATATGGAAATATTTTACTTCTGTTTTTATTTCAGGGTGGAGTAGTCTACACAATAAGCAAGAGTGGATGTACACCTGTAAGCACTGTTTTTACATTCTCTTTTTTGTCCCCAGCATAACTATATTCATGGTAACTCCCAGCTTTCAATGGCATTATTTGATAAATGTTTATGTGGGAGTCTCTATTATAAATAGAAAATACTGATGAGAAATAACTGGTTTATTTTTTGTCTTAGGGAGGTGCTGCTGGTGCATATGGCCTACAAGCCTGCAGAGATGTAAGCTGGTTATATATGTTTTTACTGATTGTCTCCTACTATGCTTCTTAACTCATCTCCTTATTGAAAATTGCATTTGATTCTGTTCTGTAGAGCTATTGAAGTCTTCCTAAATATATTCAGGAAAATACTGTTAGCTTGAGATATTGTTCTGAAATTAAACCCCAAAATTAAAAGGTGTTACACTGCCAGTTAAGATCCTGATAATTTATGCTTTGAGGTGTGTATGTACACACCTCTAAGAGGTGATACATAATATCACCTATTAGAAACTCTTAATTTTTTCCCTACTAAAATGTCAGAATTCTTACTGCATAATGCTTTTTATCAGCTAAAATTATTGTCTTTGGATATTGCATATTTTGGAATATTATTAGGGGTTCTTTACAATCTTTGCATATTAATTCTTTAATTAGTTGAGAAATTTCTATTGTCTATCTCATTTATTTCTTTTTCACATGAAAACAAATTAATAATTAGCAAATTATTTTATAAATAAATACCTGATTTTTATTTTTGTTTCAGAGTGCATCCTCATCCGGCAGTGGTCTTACTTATGGCCAGGTAACCGTGTTCTCCAACATGTTTTTAGCTTCATAAGTTATTCAAAAGCTAAACAGTTATGCCCAAATTTACCAAACAATAATTAAATTCATGGAAGAGGATAAAGGAAAACTGTCTTCAAATTATTTAGTAATGATCATACCTGGAAATAACTTCATGAAGTGAGTTGCGTATTTGGTGTTTGTTGCTGTATCCCTACTTCTATTTTCCAACAAAAATCAATTACATTTCTTCTATAAATGGACACCAGTTCCTTTTACTATGTTTTTTCCAAAAGTCAGTGCTTTTTTTGATGGTTACTAAGAATTAAAAGTTTGGGGTTTGTTTTTTGGCTTTTGCTTATATAATTTTTTGCTTCATTTAAATAATTTCTCTTGTTATGACATATCCAAATTTTTCTAGATTCTATTGCAACGGTAGGTTTTTTTAATTGAGCATATGGGTTCTGGAATTTGGGTTTTTTTGGATGAAGGTAGAAGAGCCTATATTTTTCCTACAAACAAACTTCCAATTTCATGAAACATTTGCAGCTTTTATAGAGGACTCTGTAAAACTAGCAAAATAATTGGGCTTTAAAAAAAAATTAAACCAGTTGATTTATTGCAGTTGCTTCTTTATTAACTGCCAATACATTAATTTTCTTCAGACTTTTACTTTGTTTGGTGCTTCATGGGTATCATGTTAATATAATATTCTTGTGGAGAATAGTGCTGTAGTTAATTTGCCATACATTTACCTAAGCTACAAATTAATTCTGTCTTCTTTACAGTCTGTCCCTTCAAGCAGTTCAGATTCCAGTAAGAAGGTAAGCTCTCCTGTTCAAAGGGATAAAATTCTTACATTTATAACTTCGCATGACTCCTGTTATTTCAGTCAAGACTTTTCAAGGTTTTAACTCAGATTGATTTATATTATTTGATTTGGTTTGGTTGTTAGAGGCTGGTAGAGTTTCTAATGAGAGAAGAGTAACACAGCAGAAGATACAATTACTGCATTTGGCATATTTCGGTTTTCTTTTGAATGAACTCAATATCAAGTCTTTTTTATTTCTTAGCATAATACTGAATAAAGACAAAATAAATTGATGTTCTAGTTTGGGGTGCAAAGTTGAGGATCAAAAAAGGGCACACAGTACAAGCCAGTAGCTATGGTATAAGACATGAAATCCTGCTTCTGCCTCTACAGCTGAGTCATTATGTGGTTTGGGGCAAATCTTTCATCTACTTTACTCTTGTGTATACTATGCATAAATATATGTCATTCTTTGCTTGGTAATGTACATAATTTTTTTTTTTTTAATAAAAATGCCATTTTATAAAAGAGATCTTCCATACCATTATTACCAGACTTTTAAATTTACACATTTTTGTATTCTTCTTTTTTTTTCTGACATATTTAGCAATATTTAAGTAATCTTTATGGTGAGTAAATAGCTTCTTCTGGTTTCTCCATAGGTAGTGGTCGTTGCCAACAGCAACCCTTTTCCACCTGTGGTAAGCTGTTTTTCTCTACAATACACATTTTCTCTACAAATAACTTTGACCCAAAAAGCTTTCAAGTACCATCGTTTTTAATTTTCAGAAATATTCCTGGAGACAATTTTTTGGCAGGCAGGATTTACCCTGAGCGTATATTTACCTTCAGGGAAGGTGTGTTTTAATAAGATAGGTAAAAACCTCGTGGTTCTGTGATTGCTGTTAATACTTGCAGAGACAATGGATTAGCTGCAGGCACCAGGTCTCTCCATGTACACAGTCTTTGTGTCCCTGAATAGTGTTAATTTTCTCTTTCTGTTGCAATTTTCTTCTGTAAGTTTACTTCCATTCTCCTTTTTAAATTTTTACGTTTCCACTCTGGATCTCTCTGGAACTAAACCAAAGTTTAGCCTTCAGGTGCTTGAAGTGAGCTTTTATAATGTAATATTTTATATATGTTTAATTTCTAATAGAACATGTCATTCTAAGTTGACTAAAGGTTAAGTTGAATAAAGGCATTTATTCTATGCCATTCTTTTTATATAATTCTTTCACATTCCACTATGTACTGCATCTGAAATATAAGGGCCCTTTTTCCCTTTCTCAGCTGCAAAATTCTGTTTGGGCAAGCCCTTGTTCAAAATAACGAAAGATTTTTCTGTTTCTTTGCAGCGTCACACCTTCCCTCAGGTAAGAATACTTTTTATTTTGATTCCTATAATACCATTATAGTTTTTATGGGATCAAATCAACTGTCTCAGGATGGTGTGTGCTACTCTTTTACATTTGCCCCTCATACCTCAGAATTCAGAAAAAAAATGCCTGGATGAGGAAGTGGATTTGTATGTGCAGTGCAGGTGACAGTGAGACAGGTTAGAGGAGTGATGATGTCCCAGCTTCCCTCCCCACATTTGGAAAACCCAAGCTGACTGGTAGTGCAGAAAGGTGGTGCACATAACCTGTGCTCTGCTGCTCTCCACAGAAGATGTAAGAGTAGAAAATTACTTAGTAGGGTCAGTCTGCCTCCCCAAACCTTCAGAACAGAGAACAAACTAGCTTAATGCTGGGTGTTAAGAACTGGTACACAGCACATCCCACATATGACCTTTCCCTTTATTCTCACAAATGGAATAGTTCAACTTAGTATTTTCTGTTTAAGTGCATTGCATTAAACAAGTAAATTAAATCTGCTATATTATGTTTCTTTGTTTCTGGATTTTTTTTCAGAGTTTGGGAAGCTCTGCTACAAGGATCATAGTACAGGTAGACATTTCTTCTCTATTATACTTGAGTTTTAAAGGAAGATTTGTCTTAGTAAACTAAACAATAACTCCTCTCATAGAGAACAAATAATTAAGTGTGGGTAACTCAGAGATACCTTAGATGTCCACAAACTACAGTGGTGGAGTAGGGCATTTCTGTGACTACAGCAAAGGTGATATCTTAGCTGGTTGCTGAATAAAGACTATTGGAACTATTTTCTACATGTAAAAAATTTTAAAACCTCTGTATGTAAATTCCATTGTGCTCTCAAAATTGGCAAAATTTGACCATCTCAGTCTGCCCAGGAAGGAGGATGGAATTCTAGAACTAAAGCTTGAATGTGACTCAGTATAAAATCAAATATAGATTGCAACCTGCACAGTTCCATTTTCATTTAAACAGTCAATTTTTTAATGGAAACACCCAGTTCAGAATTACATTTTTAAAATCCTGCTGTTAATGCCTAGGTGAACTGTTGTATTTGTAATGTTGCTTCTTGATAACCAGGAACTTAGAAAATTGATTGCAATCTAGTCTCATTAAGAGCATGCTTATTAAGTACTATGAATATAATTCAGACATATTTATCTGGGTTCTTTGTCATTTTAACATCCATCCCACTGTTAATGGCTAGTCAGTCCATTAGATGCCAGTCCATCAGACTACGACAACACATTCTCACTTTCTCTGAAAGATTAGCAGCAAGTTACCCCAGCTGAAATTTGTCTTTCCAAAACCATTGCTTTCAAAATGTATAGCATTATTTTCTTCCATGACAAGTGATGAATTCTGGCAAACAAAATAATAAGATTTCCTTGTTATTTAAATTCTGATTTTAAATGTACAGTGTTTTGATTACACAGGCTAACTATTTTCAATGTGTAATATAAAAAATATTTAATTCATCTCATAATCCACATATTTTCCTGGAATCAAAATATTTTTTGTAGTGGCTTTCCCTTATGTTAAATTTTAACTGTGGATTTTTCAATTTTTGCTTTGGCAAAGCAAAAAGCTTTGTCAAAAGCTTATTAAAGAAAAAAATCATTCATAATGTGAATACAAATAGATATGGGTTTAAGGCTATTTGTGAGGTACATTTGAAAGGCAGAATTATTTTAACTCACTTCAAATACCACAATATGACACAAATATGTATTACACAATTAATTTTCATTAAGAAAATTTTATGAAGATATATAAATACTTGTAATACTTAATTTGTGTAGGATTTTTATATACATTTTGTAGCACATGGGGATGGCATAAAGTAAGAAAAGGTGTAATGAACTCTTCGTAGCTTTCAAATTGTCTAGTAGGTAGAAGGACAGAATTGCTCCTTGAAATGGCTTAGTGCATAAGCAATTCCTCTTAAAAATAAATAACCAATTTTTTTGTTCCTGTGTAGAGTGGACAAAAACAGCAAACTAGCAGCAATACTTATATTCAGGTAAGTAAACTTTAAAAGTGTTATAAATGTTCCTATAGACTTCCCTAAAACAGGGCCAGCACAACTTACAAATAAATTATTTTCTGCATTTAAAAATGGATTTCACAGGTGCTGGTATTTCTATTTCCCAGACTTTTGTTCATGATAATACCATCTGATATTGATGTTGAAATGATTTTGTTTGTGATGTTCACAAATGCATTTCCATGTGTGATGGGTTTACATGAAATGAGTGTGTTGTACTTGGAGCATAAGGGTCAAGGCCCTGAGAGGAAACGATTCTAGTCTCCTTACCACACCACTGGCCCTATACTGATAGATTCAGGGCCCATGCATATTAGACCTCAAATTCCAAAAGTTGTAAAGGGTAGTTGCTGAGCCATATCAAGAATGATGAAAAATCATGATCGTAGAACTATATGCAATGTCTTCCAGCATTGCTTAAAGCCATAAAGATAAAGCTGCTTGTGTGGAAAAAGAAAAAAAGTGAGGGAATTTTAGAAAATACTCACACGGTGGCATCATAAATTATTGCAAACTAAAACTTGAGAATATTCATAGTATGGTCTCAAGTATGAGTGCCCTTTAGGTCTTCCTTCTCTTGAGGGATGTGGGTAGGAGGGATGCAGAATTCTGTCAATATTCTCTGGAGCACTACATGCAACCAGACAACACTTTCAAAAGGGTAGGTATAACTTTTAGGGATCAGGGCCAGAGGGAGGCTACTACTCAACATCATGAGTATTCAATATGCACAAGGTCGGCAGTCATGGCTTCTGATGAGAATAGAACAATCTATTGCAGGGCTGTGAGCAGACTGCTCTGTCTCCTTATTGCTTTTTGAGAAATCCCCACACAATTGTATTTCTGTAAACATCATGCTCTTTAAAAAAGGCTCTTTGTCAAGGTGGTAATTATCTTCTCTTTATTTTAAGGGTTCCCAAGGCAGCCAGTCCTATAGTCAGGTGAGATGTTTTGCTGAAATGTTCTGAGCTTTTCTGTAAGAGTCTCTGTTGTGTTTTTACCTTCTTGATGTTCTTGAGTGGTCCATGAGTTTGGTTTCTACCACTGAAATGCCATGAAGGAAAAAGAACATAGGACAGAAGAACTTTAAGAGGAAATGGACTTTTCTGTTGCTGCTGTACTAAGGAAATATAGCTTTGTTTACAAATGACATCTTACCATCCTTACAGGGCTACAGACCTCAAGGTGGCAGTTCCTATGGCCAGGTAAGCATCAGTCAGAATAGAGCATTTCAGAAATGGCACTATAAAGGCACTTAGCAAACCCTCAGAATCTGAACTTTAAAGGACATTTTCTCTGAAAGTGTCTATTCACACTCAACATTTATGCATGTGCTACTCGTTGATCAGAATCCCAGTGTGTGAAATCATCACACTCAGCATCCTCAGGAGAGCCAGGAGATGCCTGGCTCTGCATTCTGCCCTGCATGGCTTCAGGATGTAGCTGCTTGCTGTTGCTAGTGCAGGCTGGACCCCTTACTGAAAGGAAAGTAACCAAATGGTGTCCTTGTCTTAGGGTGGATCAAGTTTCTCAGGCAGCAGCAGCTCCTATGGCCAGGTAAGCAAACTGGCTGTCCTGTAGAAAGTTCTTCACTGATCTCTCTGTGACTGGCAAGACTGGAAGACACTTGAGAGAGATGTTTCCCACGGCAGTCTGTGCCTGAATTTGGGCCATGGCTTCTGCTGAGAATAAGACAATGTGCTGCACAGATGCACAGCTATTAGCATACTGCTCTGTGTCCTCTGGCACAGGAAGAACCTTTTAGGGAATCCCACATGCAGCTGTTATTTCCATAAATACCATGCTCTATACAGAAGCCTCCTTGTCAAGGTGGTAATTATCTTCTCTTTATTTAAAGGGTTCCCAAGGCAGCCAGTCCTATAGCCAGGTGAGACTTTGTTGCTCAAATGTGTTGAGCTTTTCTGTAGGAGCCTGTCCTGTAAATGGGTTTGGGGGCATGGGTGTGTTTTTCCTTCTCAGTGTTTCTGAGTGGTCCTTGATTTGGTTTGTGCCACTGAAATACCATGAGGGGAAAAGGAACATAGTAGAGAGGAACCTTTCATGGAAATGGCCTTTTCTCTCTGGGATTCTGGTATTCTGCTTCTGCTGTGCTGGAACTACACTTACACTGCTCTTTTTACAAATAACTTTGTGCCTTTCTTACAGGGTTCTCAGCCTCAAGGTGGCAGTTCCTATGGACAGGTAATGTTAGTTGAAGTAGAACATTTGAGAAAGTGAAGTGCCATTGCCCTGAAAAGTTAACAAATTTTAAAATATTCTTTATTCAATTCACTTTGAATTCTTAACCAATGTATCTCTGAATCCATTTAAAGTGTTTTGTTTTGAACATGACCGTTGTGTTTTTCATGGATATATACAAGAATCCTAGATTTCTGCTGCTATGTTATCTTTTCCATAGGTGGAACTTTAAACACTTTGGTATAAATAGCCTATTTGATGCTGTTCTCATTCCAATTGACAGTATAATACAAATTTATTGTCAGTTCTTTGGTTCCTGCTTTGCTGTCAGCAGAGAAGTAACATTGAGAAATTAAAGAACCTAGGGTCAGATTCTCAGCTGAATGAAGTATTTATTTTGGAACCTGCAACTAATGAATATCTACCTCCCTTCACAGTTTTTATGTACAATAAAGCCGTCCTAAGATAGCTATGAGTTTTGTCAGGATCTCTATGTCAGATAGCAAAAATAGACAGCATACTTCAAATACTTTTTGGTAATCTCTGTCTTCATAACCCTGCCAGGTAGCTATGGCACAGGTCTACAGGTATATGGACTTCCCTTTTTTGAGATTATATTAACGGCTGATTGCAACAGCACATTAGAACCACAGTAATTTCACATTACTGAGAATTTTTTTATTAAGTACAGTCACCCTTGGCTAATTCGTTTGACCTGCTACTTTGAATTGCATTTGTTTGTTTCCATTTTATGATGCTATAATTTTTATAAGATTGTCTTAATTTTTAAAAATTATTTCTCACCCTAATTTTCTGTCAGAGGAAGGGAATTATGCAACTAGGGACAATGGAAAATACAAATATATTAAATCAATATTTACCTAGTATTCAGCATTAGCCATCCACGCCCAGTGTCTAAAAACAAGAAGGAAAAGTAGACATAATAAGAAAATGTTGTGACCCTTCCTGAAAAACTCTCCTAAGATTGGAGTACTGTCTGAGACAGATGTAAAACTACTCAATTATTGTCATTCAATAAACACAGTGTGATCACCTGTTTCTCCAGAATAAGGAATATCAAAATAAGTCTAGTTAAACAGTAGAGTCTGTACATTCTCTTACTCTGTTTTCTTACTCAAAAAATAGATATTAGTGAGGTAACTGCTTCATAAATAAAGTAACTATGAATCAATCATTAATTTCACACAGGGGTACCAACCTCAAGGTGGCAGTTACCAACCTCAAGGTGGCAGTTACCAACCTCAAGGTGGCAGTTCCTATGGCCAGGTAAGCATCTGTCAGTCACCAGTCAGAACAGAGGATTTCAGAAATGGCACTATAAAGGCACTTAGCAAACCCTCAGAATCTGAACTTTAAAGGACATTTTCTCTGAAAGTGTCTATTCACACTCAACATTTATGCATGTGCTACTCGTTGATCAGAATCCCAGTGTGTGAAATCATCACACTCAGCATCCTCAGGAGAGCCAGGAGATGCCTGGCTCTGCATTCTGCCCTGCATGGCTTCAGGATGTAGCTGCTTGCTGTTGCTAGTGCAGGCTGGACCCCTTACTGAAAGGAAAGTAACTAAATGGTGTCCTTGTCTTAGGGTGGATCAAGTTTCTCAGGCAGCAGCAGCTCCTATGGCCAGGTAAGCAAACTGGCTGTCCTGTAGAAAGTTCTTCACTGATCTCTCTGTGACTGGCAAGACTGGAAGACACTTGAGAGAGATGTTTCCCACGGCAGTCTGTGCCTCAATTTGGGCCATGGCTTCTGCTGAGAATAAGACAATGTGCTGCACAGATGCACAGCTATTAGCATACTGCTCTGTGTCCTCTGGCACAGGAAGAACCTTTTAGGGAATCCCACATGCAGCTGTTATTTCCATAATATGCTCTATACAGAAGCCTCCTTGTCAAGGTGGTAATTATCTTCTCTTTATTTAAAGGGTTCCCAAGGCAGCCAGTCCTATGGCCAGGTGAGACTTTGTTGCTCAAACGTGTTGAGCTTTTCTGTAGGAGCCTGTCCTGTAAATGGGTTTGGGGGCATGGGTGTGTTTTTCCTTCTCAGTGTTTCTGAGTGGTCCTTGATTTGGTTTGTGCCACTGAAATACCATGAGGGGAAAAGGAACATAGTAGAGAGGAACCTTTCATGGAAATGGCCTTTTCTCTCTGGGATTCTGGTATTCTGCTTCTGCTGTGCTGGAACTACACTTACACTGCTCTTTTTACAAATAACTTTGTGCCTTTCTTACAGGGTTCTCAGCCTCAAGGTGGCAGTTCCTATGGACAGGTAAGCATCAGTCAGTCATTAGTCTTTATATACCATGTTTGTTTTGTTCCAATATATGCATTGAGAATTCAGTGGTTTCTAACTTGAAATAATATAGTCAGTATCACTTTAGAACTAAGTCCTGTGAACTTTTTTTCATATGGCTCTGGCAACAATAGGCTCACTGAAGCAGCACTTTTCCCTGTAGAAAGGAGTGCATTCAGCTCTCAGCTTTATGTTGCAATTTAGTTTTCAACATACTCAGTGTTTTACCAAATAATTCACAGCTGGATATAGCTGGTCTTCTGCCTTTGAAGCAGCCTGGCAGCTTAAGCCCTTGAAAATGTATATCTGTGTTTTAAATGAGAAAAGAGAATGAGAATATTTGGGTCATGAGCTGCTCTTTTTCTTTTCCCCAGCAGGGTGGATCTGCAGCTTATTTTGGCAGCAGTGGCTGTGGACAAGTAAGACTTTTTCTCCAAACTATTTGAAAACTAGATTTAGCTTTCATTGCAATACTAACATGTTTTTAATAATTTTTATAATTTTGGTCGTTTGAAATCTATTGTTTTCATTGTTACATGAACTTATCTATCACAGAGGTCAGGAAAGACTTCTATTGTTGGCCATTGTAACCAATATGAAGTGGCTGCTCTCATTTTGAGTTACACATGGAAAACAAACAATTAATTCATCTGTCTACCCATTAAGTATATAAAGTCTTTGCTTGGGAATTTTTTGATGTTGCTCCATTTATTTTCTAAAGAAAAGAGCCGGAATAGAGAGTGGCTCCAATGGAGCAATAATTAAATTTGTAGTTTTCATCCTGGTTCCATTTCAACTTGTTTATGTCTACAATAGTGTTAAAGCAATGCATTCGGTGATGAGATCCCAGGGAAAGGATCATGGATGAGGCCAACAGTAAATCTACATTTAAATAATCTATTATCAAAGCAACCAGAATGAAAGATAATCATAGAGATATTTTAAGCAGTATTTAGCAGAAATATTAGGATTAATGTAAGTTAGGCATGAATGGAAATGCCTCCAAAAGCATCATAAGAAGCAGTACAAGGACACCATTACCAGCAATGAAAGTGATAAACACTGAAGAATGTGTTATTTCTGCTAAGCTGTGTCACAGATTGACTTATCAAGAGAAGACCTGTACTGTAATAATGGGAGGGTGACAACCAGGGTAGAACCCTTTCTGTGTACTGTTCATCATCCTGTTACCACGAAATATACCCAAAACAGGCAAATGAATGGCTTGAGCAGAAACCTTGCTTAAAATCCATGGTGGTGAATCTAGCAAGATTGATAGCCACATTTAGATAGATAGTCACCCAACAGTAACAGTTACTTCCAAAAAAATCCACCAACAGTTCATCTTTACCAATCAAGAGGAAATCAAGGGACCATCCGAAGCAACGGATAATACAGACAGACATCAATTACCAACTTACCTCTTTCCATGTGGCTCACAAGTATTCCTTTGATCATTTGTGTGCAAGTGTCTTGATGCTTGTATGGGGATATGAGAGTGACAGAGGGTAAAGCCACACACTTAAAAGGTTAAATAAAATTAAACTCAACCTCTGTAAAGTTATATGTTCAATTTTGTTACACTAATTCTCATACAGGAAATTTTAAGGAAACTAATTACTTTGCAAGAAAAATGGCATTAACCTTTTTGTTTGGTTGGTTTTTGACAGGGTGTCTCCTATGATAGCAATCCCTGCCACCAGGTAATTTAGCTTTCTTCTCTTATTTTAAGATGCATCTGAAATTACTTTTGCCACTACCTCCATTAGTTCCAAATTCAGATTCATATTGCACGAATTCTTGTATTCTTACAAATTTTGAGATTAGAACTCACTATCTTCCTATACGTAGGAGTATCAGAGGGACGTTGGAGTACTTTTTGCCCCTTTTTCCTAGCATTATGTTTTGAAATGTCTAATTCTATAGGACATTAAGGCCAGATTCTGTAAAGAAGTCTGCTGCAGAGCTGCTTAACTGGCATAACTTAAATGAGGGCTGGAGCTCACCAGCCTCTCTTTTCCTATCAAAAGCCAGAAAATATTTCAGGACTTCACTTGAAGTCCCTGAAAAAAGTTTGTGCAGTGAACTATAGATAGCTACATGTGTATATGTTGTAAGTTCAAATGTTGGAGCTCTACAAACCACTATCCTAAAAGATGTCAGCTATGTTTAAAGAAGTCATCTCTGTGATGTTAAAAATTAGGCAGAAAATGGCAACAGATGGTTTCCTTTTTATTCACAATACTTCTTTTGATTCTTACTGAGTTTTCACAAGAAACAGAAAAGTTGGATAGATTGCTTCAACAAACAGTGTGTTTTAGTAATATAAATATATACTATATTTCTAAATATGCAAACAACATAGATGTTGCTACAATGTATTATTATTATGTGGGGAGAATGTACAATGCATTGTATGTAATTTATTATAACCTTATAGAATTATATATTTTATAACAACTTTTATTTTTAAGATAACCTATTTCTTTTTAAGACAAAAGAAAAGGTTTAAATTTTGTTCTAAAATCTTCTAGAACATTAAAAGATTCTTTTCATTTAATTTTCTTTGTTCTGAATGAAGCCTCAGTCCCATTTAAGTGATTGGCAAATATCCCAGTCACTTAAGTAATTCAGTATTTCACTATTCTTATTGTGCACTTTTGACACTAATACTTCTACAAATGTCTCTTCTGATTTCACTGGAAGGAGTTACATTCCTCTTCTAAAGAGGGAACATCAAAACATACTGAGAGTTTTATTTAAAACCTTTTCCTCAAGGCTACTGTATCTCACAGGTCACAGCCTCTTGTATAATAATGCTACCAGGAGAATTTGTATAAATTCATTCCATTTGTATAAATTAGGTTTTCTACAGGAGAAAAAAAAAGATAAATTCTCTAGAAAGTGTTCAGAATGGAGCTCATCTCTGCACTAGACATTACTTGAAGTTAAATGTTTGAGGTTCCTTGATTTATGTCTCATCTAGTATTTACCATTGCATTACTGGCAATCTGGCTTATTACATTAAAAATCATATCCATATTGCATATCTGCCTCTTCTTCTTACTCTTCCTAAGCAAGTATCATAGCTTTCATCAAAAATATTTCATGGCCAAAGAGTGAGTGTCTAAAGCCTTTTTGTCTGATTTACAGGGTGGATCACAGGGTGGTCAGGTAGGTAGATCTTTATTATCCATTGGTAAAGATGTTTAAAGAAATTCTAATCCACCATGCAGTTTTCTTACACATGGGGATATAGATTCTTGCAGAGTCTCTCCATGTCCTGTCTGTAACTCAAACATACTCTGCAAACATACTCTTTATCAGAATTTCTATAGAACGCAGCAAACTAGGATAGCTGTATTGACTCAGATAAAATTCAGCTTTCCAGCATTATGACTGTTGCTGTTTTGTTTTCACAGGATGATTCATACTCCTCACAAAACTATGGCGGTAGCCAAGTAAGTATTTCCTCCCACTAAGGTTTTATGATGGTTTTAACTTCCATGATGACTGATCAATATCTGATCAGCAATATGGTAATGTAAATTCTAATTATTTTGTTGTTTTTTGGGGTTTTTTAGCAGAGTGGATCATCATCCTCCCAAAATTATGGTGACAATCAGGTAGGTAGACCTTGATTTTCTCCTGGTAAGAATTTTTATAATGTTTGATAGTTATCCAGATATCTTGAAAATTGTATTTGTTCAAAGGAATCCCAGGCAATTGTTTATTCCAGCTTTACAGCCTCTGAACCAAATCAGTTTCTTCTGAAGCAGAGTTTATATTTGTTTGTTTTGTAGGATGGATCCTACTCACAAAACTATGGTGGTGGCCAAGTAAGTAATACTCTATTTCACTACTTATACATCACTTCATATAAACTTTAGCCTCTGATCAAAATCAGGTTTTCTTCAATTTTGATTGGGTTTTTTGTTTGTTTTAAAGGGTGGATCATCCTCAGACACCTATTATGATAATCAAGTAAGTAGTTCTTTCTTTCTCCTAGTTACATAATATTTGTAGTCCCTCAATCAACTCTGTACTCCCTCTATCAACTCAAAGATCTAATAAAATATAATTGTTTCTGACCTTTTTGTGGTTTGGATTTGTTTGGTTGAGTTTTTTTGTTACTGAGGATTGGAACATTCCCTGTCAGCCATTATTGCAGCTATGTATTTGGCTCCTTTTTTGCTTATAAAGATTCTAATTTAATTTACCTCAGCTTCTTCTTTGCATGATCATCTCTTCTGTCTTGTAAAGTAGACATGAAAATGTATTTTTAGCAATTCATTTTTGTGAGGAAATAACTGGTATCTGATGTCCTTCTAGGAGTCACAAGATTCCTCATATGATAATAATCCCAATGCATGTGATGATGTGAGTATGCTTCCTCTAATATATTTTTGTCACAACATTTTTCCCATAGATGATAAAATATTGCTCTGCTAGATGCAGTCTTTGGAGCAGAATAATCCAGAAAGAATGCTGAGTTTCCACACTAACAGCTGTTTCAGCAACTGCCTCTTCTCTTGCTAAAAATTGTCATATATATGTTTACAGATACAGTTAATGCTTTTAAATGCTTTTAACTGGATGAAATTAAATACGAATAAAAATACTTCAGTGCAGTAACAGATATTGCATATTTGCAGTAACAGATATTTTCCTCAAAATTTAAGGGTACATTTTATATTAATTAAAAAAAAAAAATCTGCAAGAAAATCTTTGAGTACATATAGTGAATGCATGAAGAAGTGACAGATATTCCACTGCTTTTCATGTTACATTTGTACTAATCTAAGCTTGTCATTACAATGTTTTTCAGACTGCAATGGTAGAATTTCAAACCAATTTAGACAAAGCTGTGGAGAATAGGAGGAATAAGTGATTTTCGTTATGTCTATATGTAGTATCAGTAATTAATTTTCTTTAAGCTTGCTTTATTTCAATAATTATTTTTAAAAGGTAATAACATATTCTTTTCCAGAACGGAAGTACCTACAGTGTCAATAGTCAGGTAAGTACTTTGTTCTGTAATGTTTGAATTCTAATGATTAATGGTGATGTTAATAACTGAACACTTCTATATTGGACCTGTGGACCTTTATTATATGATTGCTTTATAATACCCTTCAAAAAGTTAATTATTTCTCTGTACTGAAGGCTGCTGCACAATTACTTCAAATGGCACAATACTTCTAAGAATATATATTAATACATTTATGTAAATAAATAAATAAATTATATTTTCTCTACTTGTTTCTGTTCATAGAAAAGCTTTTTTCCATCTGTCACAGCCTCCTTTTGTTTTACTGCCATCTAGAGTAACCTGTCATCAGCTACTTGCCTTTTCAGTTCTCAGCCATTCACTATTCTGCTTCATTGTTGTCCCTATTTTACCTTTATAGTATTTAAGTACTGCACCAAATGTACAGAGGCCTTCTGAAAACATCTTTTGTTTTGGCTTGTATTTACCTTGAATTCATTGCACCAGGTCCAGTTCAAAATGTTCTGAAAAAAAGTTCCTTCATCAGCAAGCCCTGTTTGGGAGCATCCTCACTTCCTCCTTTGTACATGAAATATGTTAGTATTCCCTTGCGTATCTCTATCCAATCTGTACGGCTGGACTGCTTTGTAAAAGAGTTGGCGTCTAAACTTTCTCACAAAGAAGGATGGGGAATGCTAAAAAAAAAAAAAAAAAGGAGAGAGAAATGATCCTTATACAGATTGTACACTAAACTACAGTGGTTCAGCTGAGGGAGACTCCCCTAAGCAGGCACTGCTGTTGAAAGAGATAAGCTGATAACAGACAAAAAATATGCTTTTTAAGAATCTTACTGCTAATAAAACAAAATGTCTGGACATCTTTCGTTTCCAAACATCACCCTGACAAGTAGCAGATTTTTGTTAAAGTATTTCGTGTAGAAAACTACAGCTATAAAGTACTAACAGGCTTGTGGCTCCTTTGCAGCGTTCTGGTTGTGCAAAGAAGAAAGTTGTTGCCCGAGTAAGTAAGACCTTTTTTCTTTTACTTTTTGCCTGCTTGTAGGATTTTAGTCCTAACTATACCTAATCTGTCTTAATTATACCTATTTTTTCCTAATGTTTATAGTAGTCAATATCTTCCTACATAAGAGAAAAGTAAAATAAATTTACTTGTGTATTTTCTATTTGGATTAATATATACTTTCTTTTTAAAGAAAGTATATATATATGAAAAAAAAAAGACATGAAAATCATGCTTTGAAATACAGGGTAGCTCAAATTCCTGTTCTTCATTAAGCACATACAGAGTTGGTCCAAGCTAAAGTTAAAATTAAATAAGTATCTTACAAACAAAGGACAGCTAACATTTTAGCTGAAGAAAAATAGACTAATAAGTAAGAAATAATAACATTTCCTATTTTTTTATGCTTATAATAGGAGATACAGATATCTGTACTGTATAGTTGCAGGTCAGACTCAGAAGTAGCCTTAGAAAAATTATATGCAAATAGCCTTTTATTTTATAATAATGCATTCCTACTCAATGTACACAATAACGGGTCTGGTGCTCTTATAAACAAATAATATGGGAAGAAAAAATGACCTATCACTGATTATAGAATTTTCATCTCCTCATTGTAAATGTTACTATTTTTTTACAGGACACATCACATGTTTTAAGCAGAAGAGCCAATGATGTACAGGTAAACCATTCCTGTCCCTTTATTTGAAAGACTGCTGGTAGTAGTAAGCTTATAGCTCCTTGTGTATTACCTACAAAAAAAGAAGGATTTAGTGTCCACAAAAACCAGCTAATTCTCCTTAGGGTTAGGTATTTATTTCCAAATAGAACTATGTATTTTATTTTATTACCCTTACAGATATGCATCTTTTTTTTTTTTTTTTCTTTTCTTTTTTTTTTTTCTTTACAGAATGCATCTTCTCCTTCAAATAGCAGCCATTCTGACATGCAGGTAATAATGTAGTGTCAACTGCATGATATCAAGGCGATTTCTGATAAATTCTATTTCATTTTGAAAGTTAGGTTCCAGTAATTTTTTGTGCTGAAGGATGCTGTTTTGATTTGACAGCATTTTCCCTGGAATGTTATAATTTTGCACAGTTGTAAATAGTGATATTAGACTCAGAAAAGATAGTTTCTTCTGTTCCTTCACCCCACTAAGCAGCTAAGAATTTCAGGTCTTTCTTTATATGACATTTTGTAAAATTAATTTGGAAACCACAAACTATATATTTTCAGATTCTTGTTTTAGAAACATTCTCACATTCTTTACTGTAATGACCATATATATAATTGTTTTATTTTGCATTTGGTAAGAAGGTACATTTTAGGGATTATGTACTTCTGTTACAAAAGTAGGTCCAATTTTCATAATCTGTCGGATTATGTACTGCTGCAGCAGTGTTTCTTGTAGAGAATTATGTAGAATTTAACTGATCCAGAGTGGCGCCTTGTTCTGTATTTCTTAGTATCTTGGATTGGTACCCATCCCAGGGGTCTGAAATCATGCTACACCCAGCATTATGTAGATTTAACAGTAGCAGAGTCCTCTGTCTCATAGAGTTTGGAGGTTAATTCAATGTTGCAGACAGATCTCTGAGCTCTGGAAGGTAACAGTTTTCTCTGTTAGTTTCCCTAATGCCCATTCCCTGCAAATTGTATCAAGTCACTTAATGAGGTTCATCCTATTTGTATTTTCACAAAAATACAACAGATTAGGTTAATTGGTTCAGGTAAGTAATAGAGTTTGTAATAGTGTTTCTCACTACGTAGTTTTATACTTTAGCTTCTAATAAAATGCTTTAATAAAATATAATTGTTTTCTTCACAGGGTGGATCATTTATTGCAACCGGTGGATCAAGTAATCAGGTAAGGGTTTTCCTTATTTTTAGCTAGTCTTGTTCAGATAGCTTCCTATTAATTAAACTAATGAAATTCAGAAATCAGAGTTTAAGTAGTTTTACATGGAAGATTCGTGATGTTATCCATTAATTTGTAAATAAAGGGGTCCTTTTCTTGTTAAATTTATCAGAAATGGCTTTCTGAAATCACTTTTTAGCACTGTTTCAACATAACATGTGTTTTACTGGTGGTATCACAATGGGATACGCCTGACTACCCTAGACTTCTCTCTTGCTGAAGCATCTGTCATTGGGACATCCCGCTGGGAGATGCTCTATCAGTCTGACTTCCAAAGCAAGCATTAACAGCACACATCTATGCTGTCCCCTCATTTGTTCTAGGCATACCAAAGGTCATACCTTCTCTGTAGTCCCACAGACTTTCTTCCCCTTTGCATCTGAAATAAGATTTTATTTTAAATTTCCACAAAGCAATAATTGTTTCCTTTTTTAAATTTGTAGGGTGGTTGCATTTGTCCTGATGGCAGCAGTGGTCACAGAGAGGTAATTCTATTTCTGAGTTTATACTTGCTTCTACATGATGGAGTATTTTGAATTAATCACCTTGTAAATATGGACATTTAGTTAACACTAAACATTAATGGTGGTTTCCTTAGTATGAGTTGAACCATATACAATTAAATTGAAGAATGAGTTCCACTTAACTGCATAATTACCTTTTTTACCACTAATTTTCTGTAACTGTTCTTGGTGATCCACATGTTCTGTCACTTGACTATAATGTGCCCAAATGATTCATTGTGTTCAAAAACCAGTCAATATACCTTGTAGTAACCACAGTACTTAGTTGCATCCAGCTTAATTTCTTTGTCTTTCTCACTGGTGCAATAAAATACTGTGAATAAAAATATAAAATTTGGTAAATATTTCAAAATATAATCTCTTAAATCAACATTAAACTGTTCTTTCCTGTAAAGAGGATAATTGAAATTTCAATGTCAGTTGCACTGGATAAACATTTCTCTTAGGCAATGCCTAAAAGAAAAAGGAAGAAGGCCCAGGAATGTGCTTATGTGTGCATTATAGACTAGCTCTACCAGGCTTCTGGCTTTTAAAGTCACCTTGGATTTTAAAGTAACCTGTCTTCTATCAGGATACATATTTCTGAATATTTTATTGTATTTACATAAACCCATTTGAATAATGGAATATTTTTTTTAGTTTCCCATTTCAACAAGAAGCATTTTGTGAATTATTCTTTCTGTAAAAACCCCCATGCTATTTAAACAAACTAATTGTATAAATAAATTACTACTTTCCAAACTTAACTTCATTAACTTAAAAGACAGCAACAGCAATTTTGGTCTGATACAATACCACGTCTTCATATAATTGAGGCTAAGCAATAAGCATGGTTTACATGCTTTAAAATATAAACTAGTCCTTTAAAATAAATAATACTGAAACTTCATTGAGGAAAATGAAATAAAAATATTTTTATTTGTCATGTGATTGTACAAAAATACATTTATAAAGAAAAAAGTGTAGATCTTTATGCAAGCTTTTTCATTCTAATAAACATTTTTCTTTGCATGATTTAATTGTAGCAAAAAAAAAAGTTTTTAACAGAAATCTAGTACAGCTTGGTTGAGGAGAGTGTATTTAGTTGCTATCAACAAGAAATTTTCAACATGAAGAAAATAAAGAATCAAAATAGGACAGATGAGAAAACCAGTTCTCCATGCAATTGTGTCAACTTTGATACATAAAAAACTTATTTTCCAATTTGCAATTGTATCAGCTGATCAAATTAATTTATGATAAATTATGTAGCAGTAGATTTGATCTTTGATTCATGGTCTTATTTTCATTTTCAGGGCAGCTACATTTCTTACAGTAGCATGTAAACAGATTGTCCATGACAGGTTGCATTCTAATAATAGTAAAAAAAGCAAGCTCTGGTAGGTGTATATGTACAAATAAACTACCACTCATAAATCTTACATTAAAGAGAGAGTGATTGACTTCCTAGTGCAGTGGTCACAGCACCAAGCCTGACAGAGTTCAAGAAGTGATTGGACAATGCTCTCAGGCACATGGTATGACTTGGGGCTGGTCTTGTGCAGGACCAGAAGTTTAACCTGATCATCCTCTTGTGTCTCTTCCAACTCAGTTTATTCTGGCTCCTTGAAGATTCTTCAGTAGAAGAGAAAAATTCTTGCAAAAAGCTTTCTTCTAGATTTAAGTGCTGTGAGTTACACAAAAGTCTCTTCAAACCTGGAGAATATTTTAAATTAAGAGTCAGAGCTATACATATTTAAACCATCTTGTTTCAAAGGAAAAATGGGTTTATGTATGTGGATCCTCAAATTCCTCACACTGCAATTATTCTGCTTTTTCTCCAAGCTTCATTTAAAGACAAGATCTTAGTCTACAAACAGTCTTAGAGGAAGCAACCTAACACTAGAATAATATTTCCCCTGCTTTTTATATAAGGGAGAAGTGACAGTTATAGTGAATGTCAGAAACTAGCAAATAGTCTTCTCCTTTAAGTGGTGAACTGAAAAATATGCTCTCCTAAATACTCTTTACACTTTGAAAGTCCAGTATTCTGGGAGATTTTTATAAGGTCATCACGGTCATGATCATTTATAAAAATATGTAGTCTCCAAGGTATGACATGGGATTCTGAGACTAGAAAAAGTAACGATAAATGTTAGTACAACTTTCAAATCTTTTAACATGAACAGGAAATAACAGAACCTACTACAGGTTTCCTATCTCTAAAAGAAATATGAACCAGCATTCTCTTTTAGTGATTGCTGTATTTATTTGAAAGAATAGACATTCACAGTAGTCCCATTTATGTAAATGTCTGTTTGCAAGCAAATAGCTAGTCTGTGTTTTCATTTCAGGGAGCCCCAGGTTCTTCATACAGCACATATTCTGGTAACCAGGTAAACAATCAGATAAAATGCCCTATTCAGACAATCCAGCTAAAACCTTCCCTGGAAGAGTAGCAAGATATAAACCAGTAACCCATTCTGTCTTCTGCACAGGGAGGGCCTTTCTTCTATCCTGGAGGATCCTATGGACAGGTAGTAGTTCTTCCTCCCTCACCAGGACAATGCAGACTCCCATCCTCCTGGTTGCTTCACTCCCAGTATTATGGGTGCTATGACATATTAACTTACACACCTGACTGTTATCCCTTAAGCAGAAAAAGTTAACCCTGATGTAACCTGGTGGTGTGAAGCTTGACAGAGAACAGTACAGAAGGGTCCCAGCAGTTTCTTTTCAGAATTCAAGTTTCAGCAGGCCAAGAAAATTGCTACCAGAAGATTTCTTCCACTTTAAAAGCAATGGCCTTGAGTTTTGCTCAGGCACATAGAAATTACTTCAAAACTGGGAGGAAGGGTAAAGTGAGAACTAGATGTGCAGGTATTTAAACTCTCATCTGCAAGAAAATAGCTGGTCTGTGTTTTTCTTTCAGGGCGGCCCAGGTTCTTCCCACAGTTCTTACTCTGAAAACCAGGTAAATATTCTGGTCACTGTGCCTGCTGAGGAGCAGCCTAAAAGTATTGTTTGAGAAAAATTACAGAATAGTAATGTCTATGTTTTCTCTGTAGGGAGGGCCTTCCTACTATCCTGGTGGATCTTACGGACAGGTAGGTGCTATTTTTTCTTTGTAGAGCAAGAGATTTCTTTTATCTTCATTCCTATATTTCCCATGTAGTGGCTGCTGTGAAATATGACATCCAAGAGTTGAGTCTATCATAATGCCTAATAATTTTATCAGCTGTCTGTACCTTACAACATGAAATCTGTCACAGAAAAAGACTAAATTGTGCTTCCAACTTCCATGGAACGATCTTTCATCTAACCGAAAAATTTGTGATAAGAAGCCCCTTCTTGTTTAAGAGTACTGGCCTGGATTGAGATTTAGATAGATTGGTATTTACACCATCCTGTTTGCAAGCAAATAGCTCGTCTGTGTTTTCATTTCAGAGAGCCCCAGGTTCTTCATACAGCACATATTCTGGTAACCAGGTAAACAATCAGATAAAATGCCCTATTCAGACAATCCAGCTAAAACCTTCCCTGGAAGAGTAGCAAGATATAAACCAGTAACCCATTCTGTCTTCTGCACAGGGAGGGCCTTTCTTCTATCCTGGAGGATCCTATGGACAGGTAGTAGTTCTTCCTCCCTCACCAGGACAATGCAGACTCCCATCCTCCTGGTTGCTTCACTCCCAGTATTATGGGTGCTATGACATATTAACTTACAGACCTGACTGTTATCCCTTAAGCAGAAAAAGTTAAACAATCCTGATGTAACCTGGTGGCGTGAAGCTTGACAGAGAACAGTACAGAAGGGTCTCAGCAGTTTCTTTTCAGAATTCAAGTTTCAGCAGGCCAAGAAAATTGCTACCAGAAGATTTCTTCCACTTTAAAAGCAATGGCCTTGAGTTTTGCTCAGGCACATAAAAACTACTTCAAAACTGGGAGGAAGGGTAAAGTGAGAACCAGATGTGCAGGTATTTAAACTCTCATCTGCAAGAAAATAGCTGGTCTGTGTTTTTCTTTCAGGGCGGCCCAGGTTCTTCCCACAGTTCTTACTCTGAAAACCAGGTAAATATTCTGGTCACTGTGCCTGCTATGGAGCAGCCTAAAAGTATTGTTTGAGAGAACATTCAACTACCAAATAGTAAATTTCTATGTTTTCTCTGTAGGGAGGACCATCCTACTATCCTGGTGGATCTACCTATGGACAGGTAGGTGCTCTTTCTTCTTTGTAGACATGACAGATTTCTTTTATTATCCTCCTGTTCCTGAAAGATGGAAAACACTTTCTTTGGAGAATCAAATTAATCAGCTTTTTTTATTTTCTCTGCAGGGAGGGTCTTCTTCTTATGATGGTAGCAGTGAATCCTATGGTCAGGTAAATACTCTGTTCTTCTTTGTGTAAATGTTGCTGAGGTTGCTGGGTGAAGTAGATATGCAGCCATATCTATATTTCAGCTCTCACTATATTCTAATGAAAGTAATCTTTTATTTGAGGAATGGATAAATTTGTATATACTTTTAGCTAAGTAGCTTGAAAGTTTAAAGGGCAGTGAAAGGTGAGGTACCTCCAACATTTAAGGGTTATTCTACTCAACAATGCTAGCTTTGAGTTACCTGCAAAACTGGAGTCTCTTCAAAAGTGGAATTAGATTTTGAGTTAAAAAATACTTATCATTAGTATTTTACAGGGACATAACTCTGAGTTGCTTAACAGTTCTGATAACTAAGTAAATAATTATATTTTTTAAATCTGACAGAAGATCCCTACAGTAAGCAGGGAAAAAAAAAAAAAGCCTGTTTGCAATATGAAAATTATTTATTTTTTCTGAACAGGGTGGATCTTCTGTATATAGTGGTTCTGAGGCTTATGGCCAGGTAAATGTTATTTGTCTCCTACATCAAAAGCTTAAGCTTGCTGTGTTGGTTCTTATGTGTACTGGGTTCTATGCTTCAATTATTTTCAAGTGACCATGACCATGAAAATGCTATTTTAACTTTTGTTTCTCTTTACCTTTGTAACAACTCAAAATGTCTCCATAATGTAGAGAGCATGGGGCAATATGTATGCTGTTTTTACCTGTGACTAACCCTGTGACTATTCAATGCTTTAACAACTTTATTGTTCATGCATTAGCTCATTCAAAAGAAAAAATATTTTGTGCATTTACTTTACATACCTTACTTATGCAGAAGCTGTTAAAAGTTTAAATAATGGGATTTTTTAAATATAAAGAATGATAACTTTGCAAATTAACTTAATTGAAAAGTTTTTCCCTATAAAAATTCATGTTTGCAAGGAAGGCTTTTTTCCAGCCTCTTCTGCTTAAGCAACAGGTAAAATGAAATATTTTTTTCTTTTCTTGCACTTCCCCTAGTTTAGGTAAAATTTGAGATTCTAAGCACTTAGTTTTATTCTTCTATTTTATATTCCCCAGAATTAGGAACATGTAAGAGTCATTTTTACATGAAAATAAATGTTTTTCCATTATTTTACAGGATTCACTTCCCATAGGAGGCAGTGAAACCGAAGACAGTGTAAGCATTTCTTCTCAAAAATATCAATATCTTCATTGACTACCTTTTAAAGTATCTAGGTTCTTTACATGGGCCTTTATGCTTTACATGGATCTGATGTCACGTGATCATGCTATACATGATAAGGACTTTACAAATTAAAATTGCAGTTACAATATTTCCACCTTCTAACAATCAAAAATTTTTTGAATTTGTTGTTAGAAGTAACAATTACAAAGAAAGCTCTTTTTATTTCACAATTTCCATCAAAACTCAATATTTGTATATGACTATTTCCCTTTTTCAGTCCCCAATTTGCACTACATTTTGTTTGTTTTTCCAATGCCAGAGATATGATTCAAGTTCCTTCATCTACATATTGCAAAGGAATGGTCTGTTTTAATGTAGTGTGGTAAAAACTGCCTGCTTTTCTTAAGAAGATGCCTTTTCTCCTGGCTAAAGTATATATTCTATTAACTCTGCTGAAGCAATTGATAAAACTTTACCATTTTAAGTGTTTTCCAGGGTCCCAATTAGGAAATGGCTCTCTGCAAATAATTATAAATTCAGATGTGCACTTTAGTCACAAGTGTACTGTGTCAATAGCTTCAGTGCAGTTTCTGAACCAAATATTCTTATGGATATTCAAGAAAGTTAAATATGATACTACAGAGGGTCCAAAAATCCCTCTGAAAGAAACTACAGTGAACAACAGATGTGTACCACATCTTGGTCTTTGAAAAATCAAGACAGCTTTGCAAATGCTGATGTTTTCCCCTGAAACATCCTGGAGGAAATAAAATAGATTGAGATGTGGCCTCATTCCTTTATTTCACTATATCAGGATTCAGCTTTCAAAATAAAGAAATGGCTTTCTCCAGAAATGAGCAGGAAAGAATTTGTAGACTGGTTATCTACAGCCTACATCTTCAGCCTTCCCACAAGCAGTACCTTCTTTTTCTTCTCACCCTTGCTCAGAAAGAAATAGCAAAATTTGCCATGGCAATAACTAGATTCTGATATTTTTTAGGATTCCTCCTCACCATCCGGTAGCCGCCAGAGTGAACGGGTAAGCAATCCTTCCTTTATGTCGTGCCAGGTGGCAGCCCCAGTGCTTGGCAGCACCTAAATTACATCTCCTGTGGAAACCCTGAGGCAGTTCCAGTGTGGGACAGAAAGCTCTCAAGCACAGCAGGAATGAGGATATGGTTAAAGAGTTTAAGTACTGTTAGAAATCCCAGCTGATGCTGAGGTGTGCTCTTGAATCTCAAACTCACATCACAAATGTGATAGCCCATACTACTTGTTCAGGACCTTGCATTTTTTAAATCATTGATTGACTGCAAAGAGCTTCAATACCATGATTTTTCCAGCACTTATTCTAAGTACAACCCTTTGTTTGCTGTGCCGTATGACTTACTCATGAAGGCCTCCATTTCCCTATCATTTCCTATCAGACACAGGCTGAGAAATTATTTTATTGGAGATTTAACACTTTCAACTGTTGTATCTTAGAGATTATCTTCAGCCAGAAGAGCAACTATCAACAGTTATGAAGGGCATTTGCTGTTTTATATAGAAAGACAGTAGATTTTTTTTTTTGTTTTTATTGAACAATCCATAACAGAAAATTAAGGCATGTGGAGAAGCAAGGAGGAGTGTTTTTCTTCCACTCTGATCTTTCCAGTTTTTGGGGTTTGGTTTTTCCATGTAATTTCATTTTAAATACATTTTTCCAGGATTTTTATTCCCCAGGAGGCAGCCAGTCAGGTGGACATGTAAGCATCTATTTTATTTATTATTTGCAGTTGTCTTTCAAAATGGCTGTACTATTTAAAAATTATCCCAATTAGTAAATGACACTAAACCATTAATTTCCTAGAATTTTTCATGACATCTGGCATCATGTTTTGTGAAATCAAATTACAAACTGTTTGAATAAAAAAAAATATAAATCATGTGTGTACAACAGTCTTGTTTTCCAGAAGCCATTTCAAACAAAAATAAATTGGGTCTTCTTTTTGCAGGGGTCATCTTCTCAAAGTGGTAGCTACTCTACTGGACAGGTAAATACTAAATCTTTGTAATTTTGACCTGAAGTATCAGCCATACAAAAGTTTGAGGCCTCATTTTGTATCCTGACAATTTTTAATGTGTGAATGAAAAAGATTTGTTCATTCTTCCTTACATAGCGCTACGTAAAATTCCAAATGCAAGCATAATCAAGAGTAATCAAAATACAAATCATGTATTACCTGATGTTTTAACACCAGGAAAAAATGAAAGTAATAAATATTTGGCATTAATTTATATATTTTAAATATAAAGTAACTGATTTTTTTTTTTTTTCAGGACTCAACCTCATCTGGAAGCAGCCAGTATGGTGGGCAGGTGGGAAATTTTTCTTCTTCATTATTATTGTGAGGGGTTTTCTCCCCAGTGTACATATTTCAAGAAAATATTACCAGATTGCCAATGCCTACATTTCCAGACTACTCTGTGGTTTATTTTACCCTCATTAATCTTTCTATAGATAAAATTGTATTCTCAACCAAACAGATCTTTTCAAACACAGTTAAAAGAGTAAAAGACAATACTTTGTATTTAAATGCATGTGTCACAGAAAAATTTTTAAACAAGAATGTGATGTTTACAGGGTTCACCTTCTGCAGGAGGCAGCCAGGCTGGTGGACAGGTATGAATTTCTTTCTCCACAGTCTTCAGCTGGGCTAGTGTCAGGCACTCTAATTTATTTCTCTCACCTTTCCAAGAACTGTTTTCTTTTACCACTGTCCTTTTTGCCCAAAGCCTCAGCAACACATTGTTTTCTTTTGTCAGCTGGACATCCTGCAAGCCAGAGTAGCCAGTAGTGACTGTTTGGCACGTGTGTATGTCAGCTTCTGTACCTGCTTTGGTACTAAACAAAGATCATGCATATTGAAAGTGTGAGACACTGAATGGTGAACCCTAGCCACCTCTCAGTTAGTTTTATCAGACTAGAAATCACCTGTTTTCTGTATCATCTGTAACATGAAACAGTACTACATGTACTCCAGGTCCTCTGGCCTCTTTAGAAAAAAAAATTGCTTTCTGTGGTACTACTCAGAATTTTGTATTCATCCTTTTGCTGAGTATTATTTTTTAAGGTAAAAATTGTAGGTAAGAAAATCTGAAGATTAAAAAATTAGCATTTTATTGCCCCATCAGAGCAATAAGAGCAAACAGTTGCATAGGATGAAATAGACTCAGTTCTAGAAGCTGGGCAGTTAAAATGTAGCTTTTTGGCTTGCATGCCTTGGATGGTAGAAGTAATTTGAGTTGTAATTAGGACCCATTTCAGTCCTGTGCTCTTGACATCTTAAATAATTTCTGCATTCTTTACAGGGTGGATGTGATTGTTCTGGGGGAAGTCCTGTAAGTGCTACTTTTTCATTATACTTTTTTTTACCAAAGTATTGAACTGGAAAATTATGCAAGATCCTGTTTATTTACAACTTAATTGTTTAAATGTACACTTAATTTTACATTCATTGTTCCTTTGGTGACTTAGATGGTTCTGGTATGGTGGGAGTTATTTTTTATTATGCCAAGATTCAGTGTTACAGAATCATTGAATAATTTAGGTTGGAGAATGCCTAGGGTCCAACCATTAACTCAGCACTGCCAAGGTCACCACTTAGCCATGTCTCTAAGTGCCCCATGTACATGACTTCTCAATACCTCTGGGGCTGGTGACTCAGCCCCTTCCCCAGTAACCTCTCTAGCGCTTGATAATCCTTTCAGTGAAGAAATTGTTTCCTAAAATCTGATGTGAGCCTCCCCTGGAGCAGTGTGAGGCCATTTCCTCTTGTTCTATTGCTTGTTACTTGAAAGAAGGGACCAACCCCCACCTGGCCACAGCCGCCTTTCAGGGAGTCGTAGGGAGCAGTACGGTCCCACCTGAGCCTCCTTTTGTCCAGGCTAAAAAACCCCAACACCTTCAGCTGCTGCTCACAAAGTTTGTGCTCCAGACCCTTCCCCAGCCCCTTTGCCAGTTTTGGACACAATCCCACACCTCAAGGTCCTTCTTTTAGTGAGGGGCCCAAAAGTGAATAAGGATTTAAGGCGGCAGCCTCATCAGTATCCCATCAGTGTAGGGGGACAATCACTTCCCTAGTGCTGCTCTCTGGCCACATTAATTCTGATAAAAGCCAGGAAGCTCCAAGGCTGGCAGTGAGCTGCATTTCTGAGCAGTGATGTCATTTGCTATACAGTATTTACAGAGATGTGTATCTCTTCTCAAAAAGCCCAAAAAAGATTGCATTAAGTAGCAGAATTAATTGACAAAAGACCTATCATGAAAGAAAGCTAAAATAATACCTAATCTATAAAATTGCCAATAATAAAAATTTGTATCAAAAAGCAATGTTTACAAAATTTAAAACATAAACAAAACAAAAAATGGAGCAACTTGTCACTTGTGCTTTTAGTTCCATATGCAATTATTTAAGGACTATGAAACAGGGTAATCCCTGTTTTCAAAGCAAACATATGTGGACAATCAACATGTAGCATGTAAAAGACATTCCTGCATCTTGGAAATACTCTTATTTCCTAGGCAATGAATTATAGGTAGATACAATATGATATTTTATGATTTATGGTCTTCTAGGCCAAAAAAAAGGGCTATTTCCTCTATTGGCAAATTGATAAAAGGAAGTGAAGTATAAGTGTAATTAATTTCAGGCTGTGTTATTCTTCCTTTGAAATGCCATGGAACAAATATTCTAAGGTTTTGTTTCATTTATAGTTTATGACCAAAGACAAAGGCTAATTTTTCTTTTCCTTTTTTTTTTCCTTTATAGGGTGAATCCTCTAGTTCAGTCAGAAGTGATTCCTCTGCAAATGTAAGAAATGTTCATCAGCTTTTAAGTGTGTCCTCTGATAGTTTATCAATATAATGACTAGAGAGGATAAAAAGAATGGCTAATAGAAGTCATATACTTGAGAAAATAACATACTTTGGTTACAATTAAAAATACACACAGGACATTTTTTTAATTATAACTAAAAAATGCACACAGGAAATTTTTGTAGTGATCCCAGTCTCTCTTTCCATTTGAAATAGTTTTCATTCAAAGTCTTACAATGAAAAATGTTTTTACAAACACAGGTAGATAACAGTATAAATATTTACTTTGGGAGTCAATTCCATTGGCTTCCTTGGAATTATATAAAAATATCCCCCAAGGACATGGATTTATATGATTTTATTCCTCTTAGATAATTTACTGCAAGAAAGTTTAGTATTAATCTTTATGTACTACTATCTTGCAAGAAGTTTTGCTACAAAGACTTCTTCTACAGCAAAATAATTGGTGTTTGCATTTTTCCCCAGGACACATCTTCGTCTGGAGGCAGCCAGTACAACAGCCAGGTAAGGATTCATTCCAAAAGGAGAGGTAGTTTGCCACTTCTGAAAATGATTGTTAATTCATTCAATTAAATTCAGTTTTTATATAGGAACTGGGTAAAAAGAACAGAAGCCCAGCAAGTGAAATTCGCTATTGAGTAGTTAGATATGTCCTAAAAATTATAACAATGGATTTTTTACCAAATAGTGTCCTGGCTTCATGAAATTTGCAAAATGAAGTTCAAAAAAAACCAAAAAAAAAACCCCAAAAAATAAAGTATGAGGAAAGAATGAGTCAAAATGCATCAATTTTTATTCCTATTTGACCTAATTCCATTATGAAAAAAAAAAAAAAAATCCAATCTCCCCTCTTTAAAGAGACCTCTTGTATGACGTTTCAGTAAATTTTCTTCATTTGGTTTTTAGACTCCTGTTAGGTAGCCCATATTTTACTGTTAGCTCTGGCCCAGCATTCAGCTTTCCAAATAAAAAGTCGTTCTCCAGAAGTGAGCAGAGAAAGTACAGTAAAGAATGTCACTTTAACCTTTCCAACATGTCACACAGAGCACTATGTCTTTGCCTCCCACCCTTGCTAAGGATCTCAAATTTATTTGCTCAACTTAAATCCTAGTTATTAAAGCATTCTGAAAGTCCTGCTCACTGTCTTCACTCTTACCTTGCTCTCTTGCTCCTGTTGTCCTGGCAGAATCATGTTTTGATTTAAGGAAATCCTACTGCAGGTAATTCACTCATCTGGTATTCTTTACAGGATTCATATTCCTCTGGATCTAGCCAGTATGGAGGACATGTAAGTTCTTACTTTAATATTATATATTATATTTTTAATAAATATTTGACTCATATTAAGCATCTCAATTTGATATATCAAGAAAATTGACAGTGGTCTATACTCTGTAGTAATATTGTGAATTCAAGGAAGACAAAAAACCAGAGTTTATTTTGGGATGATTACACACACTCAAAACACTCAAAACCCAAAATATAGGTGTCTTGCCAATTCTTTCCATTAATTAGATATTCAGAAATAACTAATTATAAATTTTTTTCCAGGAGTCATCTTCTTATGGAGGCAGCCAGTATGGTGGACAAGTAAGCATTAATAGTCCCCATTTTTGTAGTTTATTTATTGTCCACCTGATTGATTCTATCTTAGCTTTAATTTAATCTAAAACCTTTTCAGTAAATCTTTCTCTGTAGTGTTCTGATGCTACTGTAATTAAACAAAACAAGTTCAGATGAAGATCATTATCTAAGACTAAGAAAAAATAGAATGTAAAATACATGGTTGACTCAGTTGACTCTTGAAATTTGCAGGACTAGATATCAGGTCTCTCTGAAATAAATAAATACTTTATGAAGCTAACCACAAATTTTAAAGCCTCATGAAATTATTCTATGAGTCTATGAAATCAGCGTAACAAAGTTTCAGTTTCCATTTTTTGTTTATTTTCAGCGTTCACCTTCCTCAGGAGGCAGCCAATATGGTGGACAGGTGAATATTCTTCCCTTATAGCATTTACTACTTTAGCAAAGAGATTTGGCAATTCTCTGGGTAAAAGAACATTTTAAGGAGATTGGGGTTTTGTCGGGGGGGGGGGTTCTGTCCATTTTTTATCTAAAATGGGATTCCGTCCATCTAAATGGGTTCTGTCCATTTTTGTTGCCAAGTATATAATGGTTATAAATGTATGGGATCCCAAGCCACAGAAGAGTTTTTAAGATGGAAATTCTCATGCATCATGGTAAATGCGGATGAACCTCAGCCATTTTAGCACAGTCTGGTTCAGTCCACTCACAGTTCTGGAGTGAAGGAAACAGGGTACTCCTTTATATGGAGCACGGTTTAAATGAGTACTATGACATGGATATAGAGATTATTTATTTCTTTTTTTGTTCAGGGTTCACCTTCTTCAGGAGGCAGCCAGTATGGAGGCCAGGTGAGAATCTCTTGTTCTATACCAAAACTTGGTATTTTAAAATTGACTCAAAAAATATTTTGTGAAAACTATTTATCTGATAACAGATAGGTATCTAAAGATGTATTATCTGAAGCAATACAAAAACTATGGAGATGTGCTGCTTCTGTTGTATTAAATGCAGGTCTGGACTTGTTCTACCCTCTAACCTACACTGTGCTGTCAAAGTTTCTTAGCTCTAACAATAAGGAAGCAGATTCATCCCTCCCCTGTCTCATTTCCTTCAGTATGGTTTAAAATAGGAAGAGGGGAGAAGGTGAGGAGTTACTAAGACTCCTCTTGCCCCTGTGAAATGAAAGATGACAGAGTTCCTAGTGCTGCCTGGAGGTATAGTCTCTAATATGGGGTGACACATAAAGAAATAGGCCAAGTGTTTATCTTCCTGTCACTTTTCATTGTGCAACAGAGGAAAAATAGTGTTTCTTTAAAAAGCTCCTTAAGAAGCTTGTTGATTTGAGAAATAATTGGCACCTTTGCTACAGGGTCCATTTTTCTCAGGTGGCAGACCTTATGGAGGACAGGTGAGAATTGTTTTTCTGTTTATTGGTTGTTTTCTCCATTGTTTGCCTTTTTTTTTTTTTTTCCTGTGAAAATCGGGATATTTTTTAAAGGAGTATCTTACAGAGAAACAGTGTTTAGGCAGAATAGATGAATATCTGACTGCTGTCAGGCCACTCACATAAGCAAAGTATGGAAGGCTGCTGTGAGCATGCAGTCCAAGCCAGAGCACTACTCACACGTGCCTGAAGCTGATTTTGATTCAAACTTCATTGTTCTGTTTAAACAGCAACCACTGTAAAGACTTTCAGTGGGTTTCGTATGGTTATATAGTAAATGTTCAAGTCTCTGTGGCACTTAAATCCAAGGAAGACAAATAAAAATGTGTTTTTCTGTGACATGTCGCAAGTTAAAGAATGTGCAACAAATACAAATGTTTTTTCACTTCTTTAGGGTATAGCTTCTTCAGGAAGCAGCCAGTATAGTGGACAGGTAAGACTTCTACTTTCATGGTAGTTGTGGTTTGGATACACAGTTCATCAGGAAAACAGACCGGTAATTTTTGCAAGAAAGGAACATTCTGAGATAGAATAGCTTTAAGCCAGACTGAAGCAGGATTGCTAAGTATGAGTCTTTCTGGTATATCAGATCATGTTAAGAGCAAATGATGCAGGGGCCTGTGACACTGCATGGAAAAGTTTCTTCAACATATCACAGTTTAAGAAGACATTTTTTTCTGCTGTTTAAATGGAAGCAATTTGAAAGACTGAGAACCACAGAGAACAAGTGAAAATGTTACTCAGTAACACAGAAGTAATTAAGTAACTCATTTCTTCCAGGGCTTTTCTTCAGGAGTCAGACAGTCTGGTGGACAGGTATGTTTTCTTTCTCTGCACTGTTTGGTACTGCTAGTGTCATATACTCACAAATTGCTTTGTGTAACTTTCTTTCACAAAGAAAGTTACACAATCACATTTCATCCAGATTGAATGCGGAAAGTGAGACACTGAATATGAACACCTAGCCCCCTCTAAGTTTTATCAGAGTAGAAGTTACCTAATAGGCCTCCCCTGGAAGTCCTCTAAAGAGTGAAGATACTGCATGTATCCATAGGATCATAGAGTACACTGATCCATCAGGATCATCAGTCCAACTCCTGGCCCTGTGCAGGACACCCCAAGAATAAAACCATGACCCTGACAGCATTGTCCAAATGCTTCTTGAATTCTGACAGACTTGGTACTGTGATCACTTCCCTGGGGAAATTCTGGTTGCTCTGGTATTCTCAAGGGAAAATAAAATACAAGCTGTATTACTATTCAGAATTTCTTACTTATCCTTTAGTGAGTAGGTTTTTACTGTAAATATTAAGTGAGAAGTTAGAAGATTCTATTTAAAATTTTGATCAGTAATTGCACCGCTAGCCTAAAGGGCAGGGGAGAGATAAAGAAACTGCCTATTTAAATGGAGCTTGATAAGTTGATGAGCATTGTTTTATAGTACATTTTTTTAAGAGTAGCAGAATATGAGTTTGATTTACTAATTCAGAGGCCTATTCCAATCATAGACCCAGGAAAGTAAGTTTGGTTGTGTTTTGTACAGGGTGGGTGTGTGTGCCCCGGTGGAGGTTCAGTAAGTATTGCTTGTCTTTATATATATTTTCTCATAATATGTACACATACTGGAAAATTCCCAAGGAACTACACTTGAAATAATTCTGTCTGTGAAGTTCTACGATGAAGTATTTTCACATGGTGCACCAGTTGGGTTTTGGACTTTGCTCTTATGATAGTTATTAACAGTATGATTGAACTAGTGAAACTTAGATTAAAATCTTGGCTCCAAATGCTTTCAGAATGGAGCAGAGAAACACATTTGGAAAAGTTAAAGCAATTTCCATTTTTCTGTCTAATTAGTATATTTCTTATTTCTTTGTGAATTCCTGAAAAAAAAGCCAAAACCCCCCAAATGTACAAAATCCCCTCCACTGTTTTGCTGAGATCAAGTTAATTTACTTCTGAAGGAGGGTTCAGTTACCTGTTTTTTTTTTCAGTAAAGTCAAAATTGCTTGGATCACTACTTCTCTTTATTGGTCTGCGAAATCAAGAAAAATGACACCCCAAGTATATAACCCATGATATATATGCCAATTCTGAGAATCAAAAGTGTTGAAAACAACATATAAATTAGAATTTATAAAAATAGGAATGATACAATAATAATACTACTCACTTATATACACACTATATATATACACACATATATATTCCTTGACATATAAATCAAGATGAATCAGAATAATAGTAAGCAGTGTAAATTACTTGATCATTGCAATAAGTCAGTGTGTTCTCTTGGATTTCCTCTGTGTGACACTGAAGTTAATATAGAGTAAACATTGCTGTTTCTGTTGAATGCAGGGCTCTTTTGCAGGAACCAACTACCATGCTGGACAGGTAGGCTGTTTATCTCTAACATTTACACAGATTAGTTCCTCAAGAATAAACATGGCTCAGTTGTCGTATTTGCCAGCAGCCATTAAAATATTGAGTTCAGTTTAGTCAGAGACATAGGTACAATAATTCCAGAGAGTACATGGGGCTTTTATTCAATCACTCTTGGCATTTCAGTTACATCCTTCCATATACAAGAGCCAAGGTTTTACTTTGTAGTTATGGAAGCTTTCTTACCTTAAAAAATTACTGAAGAATTATTCATAGGCTTCATCTCACTGCATAAACCACCAAGATGATGTGTGGATAATTAGTCATTTTCCACTGCATTAGTAACTGTGTAAAGTTCTTCCAGTTAATCAGTGTCATGAGAACTGTTTGTATTATATTAAGTCCAGGATCTTTTTTTGCCATTTAAAAATTTGTTGCTATTAAAAAAAAAAATTAAAAAAAAAAAAATATATATATGTATATATAAATTGCATTCTTTTTATAGGGTTCATATCCTGGAAGCAGTCAGTATGGTGGTGGACAGGCAAGCAAATTTTCTTTGTTTTTAAGATCTTCTATTTGCAATTTATCAGCTGAAAAAATATCATGCAATACATATACTGACAGTTTTTTAGGGTCATTTTACTCCTAATAAATATTTGAAAACAGGGACTGTCAGTAGCTGTAATCTACTCAAAATGGAGTAGCATGAACAAATTTCCATGTAAAGAAATTTCATAGATCATAATTTTAGTTGTTTCACCTCAGAATGCCTCTTATTTCAAGTGATTATTTAATATTTACACTACATACTTTGACAATTTGGTACAGAATAAACCAATAGATGCTGCTTAAAAATATATAAATTCCAGTGTGTTGCACACAATAACACTACTTTCCTCTTTAGAGTCACCTCAAGACTCTTCCTGTTAAGCATATACCTTATGCAGACTGTTTGGCACCGATTCGGAAATGTTACTAGTGCAAATAGCTGACAGATGAAATGCATGACTAACTCAAAAGATGGAGCTTAGTTTCCATTAGTATTACCGTATTTGCAATGTCTCACTCTACCATACTAAAAAAATTAATTGCTTTTTACTTCACTAGCAAGCATTGGTTTTCAGTATCACTCTGTTAAAAAGATAATCTCATGTAGAATGGAGAGGATTCTTAACAGCAGCAAATCTTTTTTTTTTTTTTTTTTCCCAAACTACCTATTTGGTAGTATTAACAATGTTTTTACAATAATACACATGGTGCTCTCTAAACATGTCTGATGTAGAAAATCACAAATAAAGTAAATTGGTTCTTTCCTCTTGAATAGAGACATATGTAAGACACTTTTAATCCATTTATTTATGGAACAGAACAGTCTCAGAAGGTGTTTTGTGACTGCCCAATCTACTACTTTCAGCTGTTGAAGAACTTAGAGGTATTAGATCAGAAGCCTTTCACTGCATCTTTTTAGATTAATATACTTTCCAGATTATGACTGAGATCTCCTGTCAAAAGTCCTGTGATGTTTCATTATGCACAGAAAAACAAAAAGTATCTGCTGTTAATTTTCCCTGATTTTTTTTTTTTTTTAATAGGGATCTTATCCCTCAAGAGGCAGCCAATATGGTGGGCAGGTGAGTGTTCTCTTTCCATCCCATCACTTCAAACTCACTCCTAACATACTTTGTAGATCAGGTCAGTTACTTGATGCTGACAGATACATTAATTTGGCCATTTTATGAAGTTTAAACAGTGCAGGTAATATGGATCAAAGTCGCTTCAGTAAGGAGAATAAAAGATTTGGTTACAATGAGTTACTGCTCTGTGTAAAATATTCCTTTGAACATACTCTAGTTGCCAGGCTGTTTTTCTTAACACTGCTTTCTTGATTCAAATTGCCATTGTTGTGGTGTGTAGTACAGAGTGTAAATTTTAAGCTTTTTTTTTTTTTTGTTCAAAGAACACCCAAATAAGCTTGTCCTAAGTACTGCAAAAATTGTCTGAAGATAGTGATAGAAGATTTTACATTCAATTAATACAAGTCTGATTGACTTCTTACAGGGCTCATATCCTTCTGGAGGCAAACAGGGTAAACCAGTAAGTACAAAACATTCACATTTACCTTTCTCTTTTCTTATACACCTGCTAAAAAACCCTATTAACAAGTTAGTTATGGACTAGACAGTTGGAGTTTTACTTTAATATGCAAAGAGTGGCACATTATTTACTTACCTGGGATACTTTCAACAAAGGCAAACACAGTATTTATTTTCACACAGTTTTGAGACAGCACATTACTGTGTAGCTGAACTTCTAGTAATCACAGAATGAGGTCATTGGATTTGTGTGTGTGTATAAGGAACTTCTGAACAGCTATTTATCTTTAAATTTATAATAATAATACACTTTCTGCTCAGAGCTCAGCTTTTCATTGATTTTGTATGCATTTGTCTTAAGTAGTTCTGTCTTGCTTTGAAGAAAACAATTTTTCTTTTCAAAGGAAATAATAGTTGCCATTTAACTACGCATAATTTCATCTTCTATCATTTCAGACTTTTTTACTTTTTACTACGTAATTTTGACCTCACTCTTGCCATTCAGTGACAGTTGATAAAATGTTTATAGAAAAGATATCTTATAGAAAATATGTACTTGTTATTAAAAAATTATCATAAATGTTACATTTTCTAATACATGAATCCTAAAGGTGAGACATTTTCTGTATGTATTTGATGGCATTTCTTAAAGACTTAATGATTGTAACATTTCCTGTTGGCAATGCCATTCAAATAAGCAGAGCCACTTCACCAGAAAACTGAATAAGATGCTGTCAGAACATCTAATTTTTCTGTACCTACTTTTATTTTCAACTATCTTTATTATTAGAGTTTTCTTTAAGTAGGGGCTATAGAGCGAAGGACTTTTATAATTTGCCTTTTTTTGTTGGTGCTTTCTTTTTTTCTCCCAATGTAACCATAGACTGATACCAGGAGAATTATGGTTTAATTGGACCTTATTATTTTTTCTATTCCATATATTAAACACAACTATAAACCAGTTCTTTTTTCTTGAGAATTTTGCATTAAATTGTCCAATACAACATTTGAAAGAACACACATAACAGAAAATGTTAAATACATGTATTTCAGATAAGGTTCTACCTGGGATTTTTGGATGACTGGATACAAAACAGCTTTCATTCTTCTGTGGTCTTTAATTACATATAGCAAGACTATTTAAGCACAACTAGACTTAGAGTGAAAAACAGGTATCTTTTTTCAGGGTTCCTCTTCCTCAGGAGGCAGTCATCAAGGAAAGCCAGTAAGGATATTCTTTCAGTATTCTGCAACCAAATTAGACATGGGGATATTGGGTTTTAAGATAGGTAACAACAATGAGGGTGAAATTTTAAATTATGTTACAATGGTAAATGTATGAGAAAAATTACCAACAAAAATTGGAATATTTTGCTCAAGCTTGAACCTTAGGATGAGGCAGCATTTATTCCTCCATTGCAAAGTTTTGATATACCCTGTTACTTACTCATAGGAACATTCTTGGGTCATTCTAATAAGAATGATGTATTTAAATATCAGGGTAATTGTTTCAGTTTCCAACTCTGTAGCTCAGACAAGACACATTGCTTTGACCCATTCCTCTGAAACTGTTCATGCAATGAAATGGACATAGCCGTGCTTTTTTGAGACCATTTAATTCAAATAGGGGGGAAAATTGCAATCAAAATCATTATCAGACCCACTAATATCCAGGGCATTTTCAAGATTGCTGTGTGCTCTTTGGACACTGTTCATGCAGCCTTGTATGACAAAATTAAATGGTTCATAATTGTTTCACAGGGTGGCTCTGGCTCAGGAAGCACTTACTCTGGGAAACCGGTAAGAACACTTTCATCACAGCACTTTAATCTTCTTTTGTCAGTAAAGAAAGAACCTGGGTGGTGGATAGAGAAATTTTGGGATGACTTGGTCTGAAGAGAAAAATCTATACTAATATTAGTTCAGCCTTCCCCTTGAACAACTTAAAACTATGCTGTGGGTTAAGCTATTAAAATCTTGTTGATCACAGGAAAAAAAATGTGTTCAAAACCATTGGCTGGGAGACTCTCTATAAATTTATTTCTTGGTTTGTTTTCAGCATTCGCCCTACTCAGGTGGCAGTCAAGTGGTAAGAACCTTTCCTCTGTAGTTTCTACTGGTTTCTTCCTATAAATGTCACATAAAACTGAAATCTGTCAAATTTCCTACATCTGCATAAATGTTTGAGAACACATGTGCAACATAATAAATGAAATAGTCTTGACAAAAAGGAAGAAAAGTGGGACCACATAGGTGCTTTATACTTTTGACCCTATCACTGAAAAATATGTGTTGATATAAATGTGGCACATGGTCTTTTGACAATAGAAGTGTCTACATAATAGATGGGGCTAATACAAAATTATTTCTCTGAAAATTTCAATGCTTTTATAATATCAATAAAGATAACTATTTAGGAATGGTTTTATCAAATTTCTCTCTTTTTTTTTTTTTTTTTTTTACAGAGCTCTGCTGGGAAACACTCTTCTCCCCAACTCCTGATGTTATTCAGTGTTCTGAGTGCCTTTGCTCTCTCTGCTGCTGTATCAAAATGGTCTATATGAACTTAAGTGTTACTTGACATCCTAAACACAGATTATAATCTGTATTATTAGATTACTTAATGTAAGAAAGAAAATACCATTAAGTCAAATTGGCAGATGCTACTTGACTGTTATGTTGCATGTCTAGCTGGTATGTCATGCCCCTCATTAGTTTACCTATGGTTTTAGTCATTAGTAGTTATCATTAGTTGTGTCAGTGTTTTAGGCATCATTTTAAGAGAGCATATGGCACCCTACCTATAGGATTTATTTTTATTTCCAATAGGGAATGAGATGAACACCTACCTAATATGATTGGTGTGACAAATGAATACTTAGGGAAATACCTGTTTATTAACCAAAGTGGACAAGGGAAATAAATTGTTGTATATGCAAACTGAGCACTGTGCCTAGTAATCATCACATAAGGTAAGGCTAATGTAAATTTCTGATAAGCAGTTCTCCATGGGACAGAAGGAAAGATGCTGAAGTAGTATCAGAGCATTGGTTTTAGTCTTTTGTAATCAAATGCAAATTCAATATGGAGATTGCAAAGCAAAAAAAACCCCAAAACTCCACAGGTCTGAATTTTTGGGGGGTTAATTAAAGTTTATTCATTAGAAAAATGAAACAGCTCAGAGCAAAAACATTATGAACTCCATTCAAACCAACTGCAAACACCTAGCATTCTGTAGGGTAGCATATGAGGCACACGTACCCCACATTAGGCTGATGAACTAAAAGCTGCGGAAAAAGAAAGCCTTTTTCCTTGGAAGGAATAGAAAAAATAATTAAATTCATAAAACTAATACCATCTTGGCTTCCTTCTTCAATTATTTAGTTCAACCTCGTGTATCTGAAAGGTTAATTTCGTGAGTGCATCTACAAGCAGGTACATCAGTGTGCTCGCTGAAATACCAGGGCCCGTTTTTGAGCTCAGCAGCAGTTCCACACCTTGCAGCAAACTCTTCCGGAGCTCTCAGAGCCACCTTCTGTTTGGTGTTAACAAAATGCATTCACACAAGGCATACTTTTAATGAATGTGTTATTGAACATGTGCCTGCTATTAAAATTACCGTTATTAGAAGCGCGCTCTTCTGTCATGGTTTACAATTGTAATTGGTGGGAGAGGTTTCCATTCAAGTTCTCCTACCAGCTTCCGCGGGGCCCGGATTTCACTCGGTTTTGATGTGCACCACTACCCTTCGCCAACCATCGGTAAATCAACCTGCAACCTGTATATAGGTTATGCCTATATACGATCTTCAACATTCAGAGGACAATTTGTTTCTTCGGACAACACAGTAATGTCCTGTTTGAGAGGTCCGCACCTTAATTCGAACCAGCCCTACCATTCTCTAATAAATTTGTGATGGGTTTGTACAAAACGCTGGTGTCAGCGGCTGGCGAAGTTCCCCGCTCACGGTTTGGCGAAACACGGCCCGTGCCGCGCCCCGGCCGCAGGGACCGCAGGCTCCGGGAGCCGCCCGCGCCCCGCCACCGCCCCTCGCACGGCCGGGCCCTGCCCGCGCCCCGCCGCCGCCCCTCGTACGGCCGGGCCCTGCCCGCGCCCGCCCGGCCGGGGCTCCCGCTGCAGCCGCGGCCCTGGGAACGGAGCGGGCGGGGCTCGGCTGCAGCCGGAGCCTTTGCGGGACGGGACCGCGGCTCCCGGAAGCACCGGGAGCCGGAGCGAGCCGCGCTGGGCCGGCGGTGACGGCGAGCGGGGCCGCCGGGCGGGCGCAGGTGGGAGCGGAGCCCGGGCGGGGCCGCCCGCGCGGAGCAGTGCGGGGATGTGCGTGAGGGGCCGGCCTGAGGCAGGCCTGTGCTGGGGGAGACCTTCGGGGTTAGCGGATGGGCGGGAAGCAGGGCTGTGGGAGCAGGCTGGGGAGGGAAGGGTGGGATTGAAGACACCCAGAGCAATGTCTGCAAATGGAGCGGTTTGGGCAAGAGGGTGAAGTTGAGGCTGCTGTGGGGGAGCGGCCGTGTGTGAAGTTGGGAAGGGACACGGATCTGGCCGGAGCTGTGTCAGTGCTGCTGAGGTTGTGACTCCTTGCTGGTGCTCTGCTGAGGAGATGCTCACTATGCGGGATGTGGTGCTGCATGTAAAGTTCACAGAAATGCATTTTACGAGTATTTGCATGGTTATAATAATTTTATACCAAGTTTTTGAAATTAGAAACGCTCTAGTGGTACAACACTTATGGATTAAGCAGAAACTTAGAGGACAGAGAGATAACAAATGTAATAATACATATTATGGAATAAACTAAAAGATAAAAGGTAAATATCAGAATGTACCCGAATTTGTTTCATTTTATTAAATCCTATAAACTATGTTTTAGGCCAGAGGGAGGAAGACTTGGATTCCAGATAAAAATATTTTAAGGTAATGACTAGGTGAAGAAGACTGACACAGCTTTGAGCAAAAGAGGGTGTGTTATTTGGGACATAAAGAACATATGCAACAAAACCTGTCTAAAACTAAGTGAGCACCACAGTGGGAAGTTTTCTTTTTCATGGTGGTCTCTACACAGGAGGTTTGGGATGTAAGACAACCTTTGCTAGTTAAAGACCATATGTGCAGAATGACAAAGTGGGTCTTGGAATAAACATTAGCTGTGATGGACTGCTTTTCTCGAAGTCTGTGGGGCTGCTTCTCCCCATAGGCACTGCACTTGACTTTCAGTGTGCTCACTGAGTTGAGCTACAGGCTGCAGGGTGAGTTTGAGGGAGGTGACAGTTGCAGAGAAAGTGATTTACAATAATCTCTCCCTTTGGAAACTGTAGTTCTTTATTCCCTTGTACATTGTTAGGCATTGTAAGAACTTGTGATTGAAAATCACGGTTCTGGGAGATAAGTATCCGTTGTTTGGGATGTGTGGTGTTCTGGTTGGTAGAAGTAGTATGTGTAGCAAAAATACAGGTTTGGGGAAAGGCTGGTTCTAGTAAGTATAAATTTGCTTTCTTTAGAGCAATGTATTGTTAGGATTAACTCTGCCTCCAGCAATCCTACAGGATGCCTACACAGCCTAATTCCTTATTCGGGTAATGATATTGTTTGCAACAATGAGAAAGAGGCAGGGATCATCTGAGCCCAGTACCTGTAGAATTCAAGTCACATGTCCCCTTAAACCAGTTTCCGATTTGGCAGTGTTAAAGGGAGCACATCACATACTTATCTTTGGGACAGGTTTGCTGGACACAGTTATTCCTCCCATATTGTTCTTGAATTGCTCACTGCCTGGGCTTATTTTTCACCGGTTACTTCAGTTCCCACTGTGTTCACTCCACTTGTGCGGGCTACATGCCTTTGCTGGAACTCAGGAGGCTGCGCAGCTGGATCACATCAATGGAGGATGTCTCTAGAGGGGAGGAGAGATTCTTAACATCTGTACTTCTCAGGATCTGGCATGATAATGTCAGGTGGTTCTGGAGTTAGGAGTTCAGGATTTTGCCACTGGATTTCTCAACCTTGTCTTACATTTATACCCCTTCAGTGCAGTTCAATTGTCCCATTTTATTTGTAATTACTGGCATGCTGCTGTGCCTACAGATTGATTTTCCCTGGAGGATTTAGTTTGTGTGACTCTACTCCAAGTAGGTCACCTTGACTGAGATGTTTTACACACTGTGTTGCCTTGAGCACCCAGACTTGATTTGTAATTCATACATAGCATAAGTGTAAGCTGCAGCTGAACCCCAGCTGGATTCAATGTTCAGTCTTTCAGCACCTTAAATCAAGCTCCTTCATTGGCTTGCTGCATCTGCAGGAACTGCATTCCAGCAGTCCTTTGGTTCATGGCATTGCACTCCTGTGTGCTTGAGGAGGGGTGGGCATTTGAACTGCAACTGAGAACTGAATGGCTCCTTGCTTTCAGAGTCTGAATGTGGCTGCTGGGATCTATCTATACTGTGATCTATACAGTGAACACAGTGTATGTACTGTGAAAACGAGATGCAGTTCAGGCAGCTTGTATCAAATTTCTGTGCTGGCAGGCAGAGTTGGGCTTAATGACTGTTATGTCAATATAAAACTATTGCACTGCTAGGCAGAGTTAAAGTCTTCATCTTACAAGAAATGCTGGTGTTGACATTTAGCTCAATGAGGGCCTGAATTTCCAGAATGCAGAATATTTATACTCAATATGTGATTTGTATAATATTCATCAAACCAAATTTTCATCAGTCAAAAAAAAAAAAATGATCTCTGGATTCTTAGGTTCGGTGTAAAGGATAAGGGTGGTGGGCTTAAAGAGCACTTAGCCACAGATCCCACATTTTAAAATTCACAGTGCTTTACTCTTCCTGCCTGATACATAGATTAGAATGCTATTTATTCCCCACAAAAGAAAGAAACAAACAGAAAACCTTTGTGAGCTCATAAAACAGATCATCCACTTTCCCTTTCTGCTCAGTTTTCTGACATGTAAGAAAACCTTGCCTGGGTCCCAAGGAATTTATAGCATTCTCTGAAATGAGACTTTAGTTAATAGTTAATATGTAATTGCATTCCCTTTGTTAAACTTGGCAGTGATGGAATTTCCTGGTTGAATTATATATATGGCCAGTGAATCACTGATACAGCCTCCACTATCTTTGGCAAAAGCCAAGGTTTTGGAGCAAAGCTGAGAAGAAATCATTGGTTGATCTTTAACAGTTACCATTTAATGTGTAACTGCTCTGAACCTAGGTGCACTTGCCACTTTTGAAAACCATCTGCATGGTTTTAAAATGGCCAAGAGTAGTGGTTTGACCCCAGCTGGCAACTAAGGCACAGGCACTTGCTCACCCCCCTGGTGGGACGGGGCAGACAATCAGAAAATTAAAAGTGAGAAAACCTGTGAGTTGAAACATAGACAGTTTAGTAGGTAAAGCAAAAGCTGCACTTGCAAGCAAAGCAAACCAAAGAGTTCTTTTACCACATTCCATGGGAAGGCAGGTGTTCAGCCATCTCCAGGAAAGCAGGACTCCATCATGTGGAACAGTGACATGGGAAGACAAACACCATCACTCTGAACCTCCCCCTCCTTTCTTCTCCCAGCTTTATATACTGAGCGTGACTCCAGATGGTCTGGGATATATCCCTGTGGTCTCTTGAGGTCAGCTTTCCTGGCTGTGCTCCTCCTTTCTTCTTCTCCCAGCTTTATGTACTGAGCATGACTCCAAATGGTCTGGGATATATCCCTTTGGTCTCTTGAGGTCAGCTTTCCTGGCTGTGTTCCTCCCAACTTCTTGTGCATTCCCAGCCTCCTCACTGGTGGGGTGGGAGGCAAAAAAAGTGTAATCCCTGCTCAACAATAGTGAAAACGTCCCTGTGAGCACTTTTCAGCACAAATCCCAAGCACGTCTCCCTGCCAGCTGCTGTGAAGAAAATGAACTCTACCCCAGCCAAAACCAGCACATGAGATATGGTTGTGCCTAGGGAGCAAGATGACGTTGCAGGAGCAAGGTCCTCCAGTGATCTACAGTGTTCTACTTGATCACCTTGTCTTAAAAATACCAATTGAATGCAGTTACGTTTTTAATTCTTTTCAGTAGTTAAGATTTTTTTTAATGTAAATTGAGAAATTGGAAATATTGCCTGAAGGGAACTTTCATATGGAAAAAAATCTTTGTTCCTCAGTTTCTGCTCAAAGAGTAAGGAACAGACTTTGCCAGGGGCTTTGCTTTTAACCTCATTTCTGAAGAATTGTACAAGCTCCAAGAGAAGCACAGTTTTATTTCTTTTTTCATAGTGTACTTAGTGCACTTTATAATGTCTCCAGCAAGAAAAATGAGTAACAAACTGGAAAACAAAAAAAGAAAGAGCAAGGTAAGTTTTAAAATGATGAAGTTAATTGCAGTGATTTAGTTGCAAAGTGCCAGGTATTTGGGGAGGTATAGCTGACAATTGTAGATAGCTTATGGGAGGGAACAAATAAGAAACTTGTTCACAGTACGAGGAAAATGGAAAACATAGTAGTGACATTTTAAAGTGTAAAATACAAAATATTTAGGACATGCATTACTACAATTACAGTGGCATGACAGATTTCAGCTTGTGGTGGGAGGAGAAAGAATTGTCAAATTTTAGCAGTCCAAATATGGCAGTTAAATTATTTGTGTGTATGTAAAATCTTCTTCAGAACACAGTTCAGCAGCACTTAACTTTTTAGGTTTTTAATTTTTTTTTAGATTTGGAGAGGTCTATGTGCCTTCTGTGCCATGTGGGATATTTGTCATAAAATCATAGAATGGTTTGTATTGGAGAGGACCTTAAAGATCATCTGTTTCTGACTCCCTGCCATGAGCAGGGACACCTCCCATAGACCAGGTTTCTCAAAGCCCATCCAACCTGGCCTTGAACGCTTACAGTAATGGAGTTTCTCCAGTTCTCTGGGCAGTCTCTTCCTGAATTAGCCCAGCCCAGGCCCTGGCACTTGGCCTTGCTGAACTTCATGAGGTTCCTTCCTTCCACTTACTTCTATACTTAAAGTGTATGTTGTATTATATACTACTTCTGATAAATACAAAGCTATATTCACTCCAAAAAAAAAAAAAAAAAAAAAAAAAAAAAGGAATGTTTATGGAATAGAACTTTCTCTGAGGAATGTAGTTGTGTTGCAGAAAATGTCGTGTTACTTGTGTGTTATCCAGCACAGGGAAGAGGGTAATGTGTGTAGAAAGTAAGTAAAGCATAGAAAGAAGTTTTATAAAGATAGGTCCTTCAGGTTCTGTGAGTTATCTCTTACTTCCAGCCGGGCTTTTCCTTTGTTGGCAGCTTATTGTATTTGTATAGGTATGGTGTCAGCACTAGGTTCATATTTAATAGGAGAAATATGAGAACACCATCCTGTTTTCTTTAATCTCTTATCATGAGTTCAAAGCAAATGTTCAGAGGTGTGTCCATACATGTACCACTGGAATGACACAGAGGCAGATTCAGTCAGTGTTTATTTTCCAGCAGATCCCAAGTGGAGAATTTGGTGTAGTAGCACAAAAAATTTAAACTTTGCCTTTGGCAGTTTTGAAAGGCTGGTTCTCTACTTCTGTGTTGGGCTTTGCATTTTAATTGATACACAAATGCCTTTTGTTGGTTGAGCAATAGTAAACTGATTAGTCATCAAATGGAATAAGACCTAGGAAAAATTACTCCTGTAACTTGGCTTTTTTACTCTAAAAACTGTCAGCAGTGAAAACATTTCACAGTTAGGCTGGAAGGAATTTAATTCACCTAACAACATCACTGTGAAGATTTGGAGCATGATACTAGTTAGTTTATTTTTCTTTTTTTTAATTAAACTTTTCTTGTGACAGTATGGAGGAGTAAAGAAATAGTTGTCAGTAGAGGTTATTTTTGTCAAATCTTTTGGTGAATTTAGCTTACTTTTTTGTTGTCAGACTTGCTGGAATTTACTGTTATTTTTTTTCTTATCTTTCATCTACTTCTTCACATAATGTTGGGTGCTTGGAGTTTTTCCTATAAGTTTCTCTGATACTCCCTGTAATTCTGATTTTTAGTCCTTCTACAAAGATTTTGAGTCCTTACACAAACTTAAGAGTAGAAACCAGTTCATAAACTAATCCTTAATTTTGCACAGGATTTTGCAACAGTAGATACTTATCAGCTGAAATCTTCAGAAATTTATACCATCAGATCTTTAAAAGACAAAATCTTAAGGTTAAGAAAAGTTCCATAATCTTATTGCTCTGTAGTAAACTCTGATTAATATCAAGGAGTTTTGGTGTGCTGTTTATTAATTCAGATTGACTGTGGTTTAATTTCATCTGCAAATATTAGAATTTACCAGTATTTTAGGAGGGAAAATGTAGGGATGAAATAAAAATATTACATTTTAGCCTGGGTTGGAGGTATTACAAAGGGAGATGAAAACCTGCAACTCAGAAATGTATTTATTTTTTAATTAATATTATGAGCTGGAAATACGTGATTTTCCACTTTAAAAAATTTGCTTCTTTTGAAGAGTTATTGTTCATACTTTGGGCAGTATGGTACTTTGAGCTGAAAGTATTACTTCCTGTATAGATTGCTTTGCTTTGTGTTCTGAAAACCTTTCCAGGGTCCTTCTCCTTTTTACTTGCAAGGAGAACAGCTCTTCACATAGAATCCAAATTTAATGCAGCTGTGTGTACTGAATCCAAATGTTACCTGGCTGTAAATGCCACCTTGGCTTCCTGTGTGTTGGCTCCTGTGTAGGGCTGCCTTCCTTGTGGCTGCAGGGTGTGGCCATGGCACACGGAAGAAATGACGCAGAAGGAACTGGTTTCTTTTTGCACATAGACTAACAGAAGAGAAGAGCAACGAGCCCAGTCCCTGAGATGAGTTTCTTAATATTTTAGTCAGGAAACTGCACACCCTGGTGTAAAGCTCAAAAGAAAGAGTTCATGTCACCACTCTACTTCCAGTCTTTGAATTAGCAAACCTAAATCTCACTTTTCAAACAGATGCATCCTGCAGAGTACCAAGCAGTGCATCCAAAGCCCAGTAAGAAACCTAAGGTGTAGCTCTGTACAGGAAATGCAATGGGAACTTCACTATCATTGTTGGTTTAAGATCCAGGTGTGGGTTGTTACTGAAGGCAATAATTCATTTATTCTGGGACTGCACAGCTGCTGCTCTGAGGGTAGCAGGAGCTCATGGCTACAAGTGAGCTCTTACCCCTCTTGACAGTCACCTGTAAATCTAAAGGTGTTGTGAGACTGCAGTCGAAGATAGTCTTTAAAGTTCAATATTTTGCTCCTTTTTTGGATTGTTCCCAGTTTACACAAGAGGTCCATGAGCTGATAAGCATGTCTTTTCAAAGAGAAGGGACCAGGAGAGCTGATGAGGTGTTCTGTGTGCTTAGCAGAGCGTGGTTATGTTATTGACATGTGTACATTTCAGAACTCTAGTTCCTGCTCAGTGAACCAGCTTGTAAGTACAGCATGAAACTTCACACACTTGCTGTCTACAAGCCTGTCTTGTTGACCCCTGACAGGACAACTTTTAAAAAATACTCTTATTTCAGCTATCATGCTGGACACTTAGGTTCCATTCTATGTGCACTTTTGGAACTCTGAAATGCATTAGTGACTTACAGTAAGGAAATATTTCCTGCTACTGGTGCCTTTTTGAGATATATTGTCTGGGGAAAGTTCACTTTTTTTATCATGATTTCTGAGGAAGACAAGACAGAAGTTAAAGATAATGGTGTGGTATGGATTCTTTATGGCTTTGCTTATGGCTTATTAAAGTGTTGTGCTTAATGTTTTTCTTTTCATCCTGATTGCTTTGCTACTTCCTCCTTAACAACGTACTAGTGATTTACATTTAAAATTACATCTTAAGCTGCTTCATAAATAGATGGCTGTATTTTACAAAAAAAAAAAAAAGTGAACATTATTTTTAATACTATACTCTTCTTTGAAGGTTACAGAATTGATATCTGATGATTTTTAACATTTGTAAAACCCTTTGTCATTTCACAGGCTGACAGAATGCAGAGATTTGGGTCTGAGTCAGGAGGGAAATCTGTGCTCCCATTAGCTGTATTTTTATTTGGTTTAGAAGCATTTTGAAAACCCCCCCAAAAAAAAACCAAAAAAACCCACCACCACCACCAACAACAAAAAAAACCCCAAAACCAAAAAAGTTTGACAAACCTACAGCTTAAAGTTCTAAGGACTTATTTATCTGTAGGTGTGCTTTCATGAAATTCAGTGGTTTTTGTCTTAACAATATGTTGCTCTTTTTTTCCAGTTTTTTAGGTCTGAATACTAAGAAATTAGGTAGATGGGAACAGTGAAAGAAATTGTTTGTTCAAGTTGGCTTACATAAATGTCAGTTTTCTCTAGTATCATAGACAAGCCTTTTAGTGAAATTCAGTTCTGTGTCCTCTCTCAGTAGGTTTCTTTTTTCTTTACTGTTTTTGCTCTCTGTCTTTGTGTTGCTGGTATTTCTCCAGAAAGCGTGGTCTCTGAATGTGCATGTCACTTCTTCATCACTTTGCAGGAACTATTCTTTTTCTTCTACTTCTCAGCTGTAGCAAATTTATTTGTCAAAGTTGTTCTCCTGTTAAGATTCTTTAATGAACCTTGTGTGTTTCTTCCTTAGTTTCTGCATCTTGGCATCTTTTTCTTCCGTATTTGCCAGTATGTTTTTACAAATATTTTTACAATGTCATAATTTTTGATGTACAATTTTATTGTGTAGGATGCAAGTGTGTACTTCATATCTTTGTGGCTGTTGATAATCCACTCCTGTTTGCAGGTTACTGCAATGTCTTTTAAGTGTCAGTGTTGTATAAGTAATAATTTGACTTTGAGTGTTTGACTGGAGAAGATCTATAAATGCTTAGAGACAAGATAAGGACAAAACAGAAATATTTGAAGAGTGTAGCTCTCCAAATGTCTACAAAACCATCAATGAAGTGCATCTTGAGCTAGAGAAATGCAGTTAGCAAGAAACTGCTTCAGTTCTAGCCACAAATACTTAGAGGTACCAGCACATCCTTGAGCAGTGTGGACAAAGCTGCGTAGTTAATGAGTCAGAAGTTGTGTTTTACACCTGCCAGTGTAAAACATGAGGACAGCTCTGCCATATGCACCCAGCAAGTGGGCTGTGTCTGCACTTCTGAAATTGGGAACCACATGCATTGTCTTGGTTTGTTATTCTTCTGCTTGTAAACATAGTTGTAAACTTCTAGTTATTGATTTAACTTTGACATTATAAAAAATGGCTCTGTTTTTGAATAACTAGGCAATGAAGGGAGTAGAAGATAATCATTTATAGAAAACATTAGTTTCTGTGTATGAAAGTTCTTTATATGAAGCATAGCAAAAATTATGTGATAGTCTGAGTAGCAGCAAGCTTTTTTTAAATCTCCTTGTCATATATTGTGCTTCCAAAAAGAAAATTACTGTCTCTATTAGTCTTCTGCACTAAGTTGAACCTTTAAACCGGTGACAAATTGTAAAGAAAACTGCATCAACTTAGTGAAAGTTCCTGGTAGAGATGAGGATGGTACAGCTTTACTACCATGAAGCTTGTGGTAGTCAGTGCAGCCTAAGAAAGCAGTAGCAGTCACTGAGTCATCTATATTCAATGAATTTTTTTCTGGGCAGGATAATCAGCAGGACAGCTTTAGTGCTACTTCCCCTAAAGCTTCTCCATCCCATGTCTTCTCTCCAACTCTGCTTTCCCACAGCTCTCCTTTCCCTTCATTGCCAGGCATACCTCTCATTCTCATTTAAAGCCTCACCCTTCTTTTTCTGGCATGGTGACACCTGGCAAGGTAGAGACTACAACCTGACAGGCTTGGGAGAGGTGGAAGAGTGGGAAGATCTCTTCAGTCTGGGAACAGCTCACTGCAGCAGGAGTACTGGGCATTCTGCTGTACCACAGCTTTCACCTTGAAAACACCTTCACCTTGAAAATACCTTCTGAGCCTTCACCTACATAAAGAAATCGGTCATTCCCAATATCTGCAATATTTCCTTTGGGTTTGTTTCTTTTTTTCTGTTTCAGAAAGGAAAAAGTCAAGAAATGTCTGCCAATTTAAAGTACCTTTCCTTGGGCATCCTGGTTTTTCAGACCACAAGTTTAGTGTTGACCATGCGCTATTCTCGGACACTGAAAGAAGAAGGACCTCGTTACTTATCCTCTACTGCAGTAGTTATTGCTGAACTTCTGAAGATTTTGGCCTGTGTTCTATTAGTCTACAAAGACAGCAGTATGTGTCAAATTTTGCACCAAGTAATTTTCCTAATCAATATGCTGTATTGTAGTGGCAACTGCAAAGCAGCCATGTGAGTACAGGCATACAACAAAGCATTTCCTTTCTCCTTGTGTAAGAAAGTCTTGGAAAGACAATAATCATACTGCATATTTGCTTAAGAGAATGGATACTGAGGAGTGCAGGAATGAATTTTATGCTAGCATCTCAAAGTTTGTGTTTGCTCAGGCATTTTAAGAAATCTGTATGTAGAAGCAGGAAAAAATGAAAAGCTTTAAGTGTGTCCAAAGCACAAATGATAATTTAGAAACCTATGATAAACAGCAGAGGTAGAAGGGAACAAGCAATTTCATTATTACAGGAAGAATCAGAGCTTTAAACTAAGAAAAAGAAAACTATATTCACACTTACTCCAGCTCTTATTTTGCATATTTAAAACTGAATTTATTTAAAACTGATTTCTGTTTGATATTCAACAGCTTAAAAATGTCAGTCTATTCATAAATATAGATGACTGTAGGATTTTAAATATGCTCTTTTTAGGTGGTACTCTTTGATATATTATCTTAAATTACTGAAACAGTTTCAATAAGTTTAACTCAAAGTATTTTGAATACTTTTTTCATTCTGATATTCCAGGCTGCAGGAAGACACTTGCAGCCATATTTCCTTACATATACAAGGCCTGTGAAAGTGAAACAAACATAGATGGTATTTTCAGGTCTTGGCATAGTGACAGCTATAAAAAGGGGAAACAGTTTAAGAACAGAACATTGCTATTTCTCCTTTTTCCACTTCTTTCCTTTTAGTGAATGTCTATTTCTTTTACTGTTTCTTTGGGTAGAATGCAATTTACGGACTCTGAACAGAGTGCTACGTGATGAAATCCTTAACAAACCCATGGAAACTCTTAAACTTGCTATTCCTTCAGGAATTTACACTCTTCAGAACAACTTGCTATATGTAGCATTGTCAAACCTAGATGCAGCCACATACCAGGTATTGCATATTTGGAATTCTCTGTAAGTTTGAAAAAAACCCCATGATTTATGCCACAGTAGTAGTAACTGTTCCTGGTTCTTCTAGGTTACCTATCAACTGAAAATTCTCACCACAGCATTGTTTTCTGTATCCATGTTGAGCAAGAAACTGGGTGTATACCAGTGGCTGTCACTTGTAATATTGATGACAGGAGTGGCATTTGTGCAGGTAAATATTAGCAGGTATTTTGTGGATTTTAATGAGCTTATTCAAGAAACATGGATTTTTATACTGATTATCCAGCTTTCTGATTCTGCCAGCTGCACATGAGCACCAGAGTAGAGTCAGGAGCTACGAATCACAACTGACCAGGTCTGGAGGACACCAGAAATGGTTCAAAGGCAGAAGAAAACACCTATTTTGCAACCCAGTGCTCTACTGTAGAATGTGACAGGGCCTCTGGAGCAACCTGCAAGTAATAATGATAGTTTATATTAGCACATTTCTTCAGGCATTAGGAATTCACAGATCATCTCTGCCAGTACTATGTTCACTTTGTCATGTGGATTCAGCGTGGCAAATTTACTTTGGACTAATTTCAAGAAGCAAATTGGCCTCAGTTCTCAATAGTGCAGGTACCAGAGTTCATAGTTTTCAGAGGTCAGGATCATGGGATAAGAGGCTATTCTAAAATTTTTCAGCAGATTTTAGCATATCCTAGAAATCCTTATTTAAAAACTTAAGAAATTGAAAAAAGATATGTTGATTAAATTCAATAATGAAAAATGAGAACAAAACACTCTGACAGTATTTAACAGACTCCTCATAAAGTTTGTCCATGGCATTGCATTTTATTCAGTTAGCCTTAGGCACATTGCAAGATTTAACTGGTCTGCAGACTCACCAAAGAGGGGTGCATGAAAAAGACAATTCATTCTACCTTAAAGACAGCGGGTGTAAGTAGTTTTCTAACTGTGCTTATATTTGTAGGGTAGGGTGGCACAAATTGGTGGCAGAGAATGACCATGATAAGTCACACTGAGATTCAAAACCAGTTCTTGCAGCTGTTTAAATTGATAAGTATTCTCCCAGTTCAGGCACAATTTTACTCCTTACAAATACGTAGGAAAAAATTGTAGCATTGAAGTCCTTTAAAAGTATTTATAGTACAAAATACAAAACTTTTCAAGTATGTGATTGTCTTTATTTAATAACTGTTACTGTTGGTGGAAAACAAATTTGCATTTTGTACAGGCTCATGACTTGATTTAATCAGTGAATTTTGTCTAATTGTTTTTACATCCAGTGGCCTTCAGACTCTCAAGCAACCCCTGCTAAGGAGCACTCAGCAGGATCACAGTTTGTAGGCCTGATTGCAGTTCTCATAGCATGCTTTTCTAGTGGATTTGCTGGAGTTTATTTTGAGAAAATTTTAAAGGAAACTAAGCAGTCTGTGTGGATCAGAAACATTCAGCTTGGTAAGTTTAATTTTAATCATCTGTTAGAGATATTGCATTCTGAAGCATTAAGATAATTGTGCAAAATAAATGGATAAATAAAAAATACAACCAGCATTTTAGTATGCTGCATATATGTTATTTTAAAACCAGAATTCAAACTCTGCTAGAGGAAATTATAGCAGTTACTTTCTGATTTCAGTCTAGTTCTTGATTTACTTTGTTAATAGAGTATCTGTACATTTGTGCAGAAACTGTCAATTAAATTTTTTTTTACTATTCTTTAGAGAATATAGGAATATTAAAACAAAATACATTTCCAAGTCAGTGTTTTGAGATGTTTTAAAATTAACGTATTTTTTTCTCTTGTGCCTGGGTAGGCAGCTTTTTGTATTAAAAGTGCAAGCTATAAAATCTGCTTTGTTTATAAACAAATTTGAGGGGATTGTTTACTGTTATTTCAATACCAAAGGTCAGTTTCTTTTGTGTGCATAGTCACTGAGGAGAAGCTCATGCAAAAGACCAGTTCATCTTAACTATTTGAATAGTGGTAGCTACTGTGCACTTATCAGTGCAAAACCACATTCTATTCCCAAAGCAGCCTTGGACCTTCCAGACTTTAGATGTTAAAGGTGACAGAGTTGGTCTGTGTTCATGAGTGAGTTTTCCCTACCTTCAAAGCAATCTTGTCCAGTTTAGAGGGTTGGAAACATGACATCAACAATATCTTTTTGTTCCTGTTTTACAACAGGGACAAAACTTATTGGTGCCTTTGTTTCTCTAATGGAACCCTTCTAGTCTTCACCTGTAGGCAATAACTATTTATGGCATATTTGAATGAGTACATAGAGCAGAATTTGACCTTCCCAGCACCTTAGAACAGACTAGGGATCAAATCCTCAGTGTATAGTTAAGTCATGAGATGATTTAGTTGATCAGAGCTGTGTAGTGAGTCCGGTAGAATGTAGTGCAGTACTATAAGAACAGGACATGGTGTGGCTTCTTTTGTAATTAGTTAGTTGGTCAATGAGCCATCTTTATTTCCATTATTTTCCTACTACTGTGTTATAAGTGGTTTCAATTAAAAAAGCAGAAGTTAATTTTGAATATATTAAAACATTTGTACATGACCATAGTGTTTTGAAACCAGAGTATAGTGGGAGGAATCAAAACCTCTCTTTACTATCTGCTTGTACTTATGGAAACAGTGTCTACTCAAACTAAATTTCCTGAACAGAGAGTAGGTAATACATCAGGAAACCTTATATTGGGGAATTTTGGGGGCAGAGAAATATTGGGGAATTTTGGGGGCAGAGAAAGGTTGCTAGCTGGGGATTGGTCTAGGATCTAAGATAAGATTTGGTGGTATGGGTGGAGCTGCAATATAAAATCCATTGCCAAGGAAAGCTGATTATTATTATTAGTCTCAGTTTCCATACTAAAAGTACTTTCATGGGCAACAGATATCTGAAATAATTTCCAGTAAGAATTCATAATTTTTTAAAAAATCAATAATCTCTTCTAAAACATTGTTCATCTTTTTCCACAGTGCACAGAAATATGTACACTTAGTTTAATAGTTGGCCTGGTCATATATTGAATGTTCCTTTGTTAAACAAGGAGATCAGAACAGACTGTGTCTAAATGCTGAGTCTTTTAGGTGATGAATGACTAGGATAGTGAAGACATAAACGTCTGATTATAGTGAGAATCAGATCACCTGAGTTTTATATTTACTTTTGTAGTGAGCTTAATATGCCTCAATAGGAAGTTCAGTAGAATGTGTTTATTATTGAGGCTGTTCTCAGTTCAAAAATAATGTCATATTTCATTAAGGTTTTAGAAGCAATTTAAATACATAAATACAGTTAAACAATACATATTAAATACATATAAAAATAAATACAGCTTTTACAGTACAGCTTTCACAAAATATGTAAAATGTGAAATCACGTTTTAGAAAATACATTGGTGTCTTCTTTCTGCAAGTGCAAGGTAGTCACTCACTTTCAGACATTGTGTTATTCAGGAGCAAGGCATTCATAAGTAAGAGCTCTGAAATAAAGCTTTTCTTACAACACAAACAAAAAACTGTATATGTCCAACCAGGTTTTCATTTTCATATCCATAGAGAATTATTAAAACAGATCAATTGGAAAATACTAGTAAATGGTTTAATCTGAATGATAACTACATTTTTAATTCTGCCTACAAAAATAATTATTTCTTATCAAACAGAAGGTGTTCTTTTGTTCAAAACAAATCTGCCTTTTTCAGATGCTGAGAAATGTGATGAAAATCACCTTTTCACAGGGAAGGAATAGAAAAAAAGTGTTGACTCTTTCCTGCTCAAGACTAGAGCAGACATCAGTCACCCATTTGATAGAAGAACACTGTACTCACCAAATTAAAAGCTCCACAGTCTCACCTCAGATTCAGCTTTTAACATTAAGTCTCTACTAGTAAAAATTCATTGTGTTTGAGACTGGCTCAGGAGAATCCCATTTCAAAGATCCTTGTCTGAATTGGCAAACAGCTAATTGCTGCTCCGGCTGTGCCAGAGACCTCTTCCACTGAGTCTTCTGTTTTTCTCTCCAGGTTATAGGGTGGCTTCAGCCTTCAGTCATGACTAGTTTTAGGAAAACTGAAATAACATTTAAGTGAATTTTGCTATATGCATAAACAAAAATCACTCAATTCCAGTAGAAAACAATGGAAGATAAGTATATAAGGATATCTTAATGGAAAAAATAAAACTTGTTTTAAGTGTAGAGAATAGCTTTTAAAAGAGAACAGCAAACTGATTGCATTTGGATGTGATAGTATTGCAAGTGACAGTCCAATTTTAAAATCAGAAATACATGAGTGGCCTTTAAGGACAGGGAACCCATTTGTATGTTTTTCACCTGAAGCTTTTAAACCAATCTTCTGCTTTCAGGATTTTTTGGTAGCATATTTGGACTTATGGGTGTTTACATTTATGATGGAGAACAACTGTCAAAGAATGGATTTTTTCAAGGATACAATAAACTTACTTGGGTGGTGGTTGTTCTACAGGTGAGACCTTGTGTTGCATGTTTCTGTGAAGGCACTGAGATTTACTCTTCTATAAATAACTGGGGAAACTAATGGGTGTCATTGAAGGTGCTGAGAGTTCTACAGTTGAAAGTCTGATCTATCATTATTATCATACTCTAAATGAAAATCTGGAAAATATATAACAAGTATGTGATTAAGTATTGTGCAAATTAAAAGCATGTAAGCATTATTTATTTTGTGATGTTTAAAATTATCTCTCTATATGCCCTTCCCCATGTGGCTAAAAATGTACATAAAAGTATTTCAACTCATTTAGTGGTGGTTAATGTGATCAGCAGTTTCTTTAATGAGGAAAGAGCTACTCCTCCAGTATTTACTTTCAACAGTACATATTCCTAATATAAAATAAATGTATTGCTCCTCAATATAGACAAGAGCTTTTCCTTAAGTAGGTGCATGGTTTTAAAACAGATGCTTTCAGTTAAATTATCAGTGAATCCAAACCTCACTGTTTTTCCAGGCTCTTGGAGGGCTGGTGATTGCTGCTGTTATAAAATATGCAGACAACATTTTAAAGGGATTTGCAACTTCTCTCTCCATTATACTGTCAACATTGATCTCCTATTTCTGGCTGCAAGATTTTGTCCCTACAAGGTAAGAATTATTTTCCATGTGTACTAAAAAAAAATAGTTGAAAACTATTGCGAAAATAAATAAAAAACAAATCATCCAAGCCATAAGTTCAGAATATCTAGGTCCAGCTTGCACACCAAAGTTTATCCTCATCCCGTAGTGAGTTTCTCAGGCGGGTGAGGAGCCGCTGGCTCGGGGTGCCGCGGCTGCTGCCGCTGCCCGGGGCCGCTGTTCGGCCCGGCCGCGCCCCCTGCGGCCCGCGCGGGCACCGCACCCGCGGGACAAGGGGCTGCCGCCGGGCCCGGGACAAGGGGCTGCCGCCGGGCCCGGGACAAGGGCTGCCGCCGCTCCGTGTGCCGCACTGCCGGGCCCGGGACAAGGGGCTGCCGCCGCTCCGTGTCCCGCGCTGCGGGGCGGCACAGGGACATCGCCTCTGTGCCTTTCCTCGCCCGCACCACAGGCTCTAACACAGGTCACGCACCTCTGGAAGTGATGCTGCAGCACTGAGTTGCCCAAGGGCACCCAGAAGCCCAAAGGCAGAGCTGTTTCTAAAGGCAATGTCACATTTAGTAGTGAGAACAGGTGAGAAAGAAAAATTATTGCTTGCTCTGTTCTTCTAGGCCCCGTACAGTGTCCTGATGCTTTGGGGATCAGACCGTGGTGGCTCTGTGTGCCACAGGTTTTGTACATGGCTAGGTTGAGGACACTGCTTGTCTTGGCAGTGCATGTTCCTATATGGAGTGTAGAATTAATCCCACTTCCAGGTGTAGGAATAGGATTTTACTTTTGACTGACCAACACTCATTGCATACGTTGCATGCACTCATAACGTAAAAATATCTTGAATAATATCTATGACTTTTGAATCTGGTACAAAAAACCATCTTTTTATCTAAAATATATGTATTTGCAATACTGTGGTCCCTTCTATCGCTACCCATTCTGTGATTTGATATTATCAGGACTTAAGCATTCAAAAAAGGAATGGAATAGCTGTTTAGACTTAAGAAGTAGGGGACATTGAACATTAATTATAAGTAGATTATATTTGTCCTATTAAAACAAATGTAGAAAATGTTTTAAGAATTTCTGTGTGCTTAAATGGAAAATTAATAAGTAACTTGACAGCTTCTGTAAACATGTTGAAAATTAAATACAGCCAAGTAGCAGTATGTAGAACTTGAAGCGATCCCATTTACTAAAACTTGACTAACTTGAGTTAATCAAACTTAATCTTTAGGACCTTGCTTATGCTAACAATGCATTTGAACTGAAACTGTGTAATTGTTTCTGTCACATCAACAAACAGTTTTGATAAGGGTAATAGATGTAAAGTACTTAAATGCTTGAATGTGCTGCAAGGGGCCACGTCCCAAAATAGGCTAAATGTATTCTGTGAAGGATTATCATGTCATATGCCACAGTTTCTTTAGCATTTGGTTCAGAAGATGAAATTGTTGATGTTGTCATGTCTGTAAGGAGATTCTTTTCTAAACTGTGTACTAATTGTCTGCTGACTTCAGTTATTTTGTGTCATTTAACTATCAAAACAACTTGAAAGACCAAAATGTCACAATAGAAAAGATGCCTTTATTGTGTTTTCATGAGACAAATCTTTCTGTGTCTGCCAAAAATTAGATTATACTGACTTGCAAACTGGTTCTTGGGCAGCAGTAATTTGTTTTGACATAAGCTTTGGGCTTCAAAGCAAATACAGCTCCAACAACATGATTTATGTAGTATGAGAATGAGTGGGTAACCACAGAAGCTGCTTTTCTTCAGCTCCTGCTTCCATTTTGCACACATCTTTAGATAAAAGTTTAAGAAAAAGAAAGATTGATCTGATTGCTTTTGGAAATTCTTCCATGAAAGTGTAATTTTAATTTTCAGAATATGTTAGTATAATGATACATTAATTTGTAGTTACAAGTTTCTTACCTCAACAACTTTCTGCATCCTTGTAAAATAAATACATACAAATTATTTTGCACTTTTTCAATTGGACAAATATAATTTGTCTTTCTGTTTTCCTCATGGAAATATGTCCTTTCTTTTGATTGTATTGCATAAATAGATTTGCATCAACTAAAACAAACCTTTTTTTTTTTTATCTCTATTCTATTCAGTGTCTTTTTCCTTGGAGCCATCCTTGTAATAGCAGCTACTTTTCTATACGGTTATGATCCCAAACCTGCAGGAAATCCCATTAAGGCATAGCAGACTTCCTCATCAACCTGCTTCTCGAGATCATGCACTGGGGGCCTTGCTGGCACTGGCATGTGGGAAGTGTCACTGTGCACTGCAAGGGAAGGATGACTGCCCTGAATATATTGAAGAAATGCTGATGAGTAGTTCTGGACAGCCAGAGGGGTTACAGGTGGAGGAGGGTGATGCTGTCTGCAACTGATGGGGGGGGGGGGGGGAACGTCAGGGGAATGCCCAGTGCAACTTGCTAATAAAAACTTGAAAGGAACCAAAAGTTTCCAAGAAACTACAATTAGGAATGTTTACAGCTTTGACTGAGATTGCATCAAAAGAATTACTGTATTGACTGCTGCAGAAATATGTCCTATGCACTCTTGGAAAGAGCACATGACAACATTGTCAGATTGTATGTTTTTGCTATTCAATTCTATTTAATCTTAGTAAATATGTTTTTAACTGTTTGTCTATTTACGTGAAATGAGCTGAAAGTCATAGTTCTAAAGTGATGGTTCTAATTAGGTACTCCTTATTAAAAATGAAAATTGAAGTATAATTGAAAGACACTTTCACAATATCAAATATTTTTATATTTTTAGAAGGCTGATTTAATAACAGAAATATGTTATTAAATGATAATATTATAATTCTGTTGCTTCTATAAAACTATGGTAAGAATGTTAACATTCTCACTGGAGTACCAAGGGAGGAATACTCCAGCCTGCATCAGCCTGTAGTGTTGGAGCAGATGGAATAACTCTGGGAGCACGGGCTGGAGGTTACCACGCTAATCTGGGAGCAGCAGTAGGGTTATGGTGGGTGCTTGCTCAGATGTGATGTTGATTCTTTTTTTTTTTTTTTACTGATTATAAATCAACTTTTTGGTAGAACCTTAAAAGTAGCTTTTGTGCTTTAAAGAGCCTCTGAAGATTTTTTTAAACCATGATTTCAAAAAACAAAGAGCCCATAATAAGCATTTAAAGGCATTATCATTGTCTGTAATAGCTCCATCTGGAGATATTCTGGTATGGCATCTGTATACTGTACTGTACTTTATTACAGAGGTGTTTTTTAAACAGATGTTTACTCATGAACTCTTCCAAGCTTTTTCTATATATTTCTATTTAATGGCTTAATTAGAATTTTGGTGGGTTTTTATTAATTATTATTATTTCGTTCTGAGAGTACTTGAGCCAAAATGAGTTATCTGGACCTATTTGTTCTAGTGGTGGAATTACTTTAATAGTAAATATAATTTAAAAGCAATTAATTGTGCAATAGGTAAATATAAAAGCATGCTGTTATTCTGTTTGAAACAAACAAACAAAAAAAAACTTCACAAAGAAACCTTGCTGCAATTAGATCAATTAGACTGTTATGAACACTTCACTTGAAGTATTTGCATATAGTCAGAAACACTAAAAAAATCTGAACTAATAAACAAAAATCTGTCTTAAAAATCATTGGTTTTCAGGTTTACAATGGATGTTAATGTAGGGTGATTCGTGTGACACCTGTGGTGATACTTTTATATCAAAGCATTGTAGGAGTCCCTTGCCAGTAGAATGGCAAGTGGTATAAATGTCTTTATTCCTTTGTTCCCTGCCACCACCCCTCCATGCTCTTTCTCACATCTGTCTTGTACTAAAGAAAATGTGTAATAGAAGGGTGTTTTGAAATGTTTACCTAAGTACCTCATCTGATTGACAAGGAGATTCTGTAGGAGTGCTCTGAGATTTCTTAATGAAGTATTGTGAATGGTAAAGGAAGAATTCCATTTATGTCAGTTAAGTAAAAATAGTGTTTTTCTTCTGTTGGCAATTACATGTTTTATCAACGTTTTGTTTGTTTGTCTTATCAGAGCAAGACATTAAAGAAATATCAGAGCTCTGCCTAGGGCTTGCTAAGCTTTGTGAACTGTGAATCTGTCCCAGCATGTTGTAATTGCAGTAGCTTTGCTACTTGGCGATCAAAACTATCTAAATGGGCATTCTGTGTTACTATTAAATGTTTTGCATGTAATATCCAATGTGGCACAATCTTTGAAAAGTCCCATTTAGCCATTTCCCCCTGCAGTGCAGCCTGAGGTAAGATGTGTGTGTAGAGCAAGCAGTGGCTCACAGCGGTGCCACGTACAGAATGGGAACTGCACTGCTCTGAAATGAGGTGGGAGGTGTTGGTAGTAATCTCTCAAATGGAGTTTGGCCCTACACAATAATACTTTTGATTTCGTGAGTCACAGTAGTGGGAGTGTTCAAGTGATAGAATTGGTTACTTTCCTAAGAAAAGTCTCCAAAAAACATAAAAAGCAGGTTGCGAACACTTTAAAGTTGGTTGTACAGGAAGGGACCAAAAAAGCCAAATAATTACCATGTGGCTGGAGCTCTATGACATGTAGCCTGGTTTTAATATTTCAGGTGCACCTGTCAATATTTGCCAGGATGTTTAAAGGAAAGACCAGGAGTATGTGCTCTTTGCTTTGGAAAAGGATGCCATGCAGCTTCGGAAAACTGCCTGCTGTACTAAGGAGCAGTAGCTCCTTTCTGTAAAGGAACAGTAACTCCTGTCTGTAAATCAATGACTTCCATGCTTTCACTTGACAGTCACATTCTGTTTTCCAGCAGAAGGATAGATCTCATCACAGACTTGTTGCAGAAAAGGAAAAATGAATTTGCATTTTTAGCTGTGTTTCCTCCCAGAGAGGAAAGGCTGTTCTCTGAGGTGTGGCTCTGGACAGGTAGCACGTGTTTTCTGAGAACAGGAGGGATTTGAGGAGGGCTCGCTGATTTCTGTAACCTTTGCACCGGGGAGCATATGCACATTTTCTCACGGAGATACTTTTGTATTTGGATTTTTATTTTTTTAAGTAGCTTTAAGTCTATAACTCATTAACTAACCAAAGAGGAACAGCTAGCACAGAGTTTTGGGAAGTAGTGGATAATGTGCTTTGAGTTTGCCCTAAAAGCAAATGCTGTAGGAGTCTAACTTCCCAAAAATATACTTGTCTTTCTGAACTATTTTCTGACTTTTAGACAATGGTTTTGTTAGTTAAGTTGTATATTTAGGAGGCTAACCGATACTTAGCAGAATTTTGTTTAAATATTTATAAAGTTGTAGCTAGCTATTTATTTGTAATAACTTGAATTATGTGATTTTCCTTTCTAGACTTATATATTGGGTGTACTAGTATTTATTGAATACTTGGATATTTGGTAGTTTTATTTGAGAATATCTGGGATACATGGTAAATGGTCAAATAACAATAAAGTTAGGACTATCTTCAAAGCAAAATAGATCAGTTCAGTGGTGAAAAAACTTAAAGTCTAATAAAGTAAGATAAACTTTTCTTTCAACATTGTATTTCTAAGCAATCCACAAGTGCCCAAAAATGTATTTTCTCAAAGAATTCAGATAATTGTATAGTTTTATTCAACTTCATTGTTTTAGACAAACTTAAAAAATACCTTCCTTTTTATTTCAGTAAAGGGTAGATTAATGTTCTAGATTCAACTTCTATCGTATAACACCTTTGGACTTTTACTACAATGTTTTAATAACTATTGTGTTATTTTTCCTCAAAAAGACAAAGCATTCTCATTTTGCTTGTGTTTCATGCACATGAACACAGGCCTCTCACAGACTCTTAGTAGTACACAATTCTTTTGTATTTCTAACTTATTTTTTGGCTGTAACAAAATACTGTAATAGATTTTGTTCATTTTTTTTAATTGATAAATGAAACATTGCATTTATTCTGGTTTTTGTTGTCAGTAACTTTCATATTTGAATGTATTTCCTGATCAGCTCTGCATGTTCTGTTGTATTTAAGTGATCATCATTTCCCAAATTTGAATTTGTTGCTCGTTCTCCTGGTGACAGTGTTTCTTGCTGGATATTGTGTGGAGGTTTATGCATTCCTTTCATATCTGAAATCTATGTTTGTGAGAATGAGTTATTAAAAACCAGTAAGGGTTTTTTGGAGGTTTTTTTGTGTATTATAAAGGTAACATTTATGTATAACATGGTATTATACCATAAATGTATAAAGTGTCATTACCTAAGATGGTGCATTACTGTGAAAAAGTCCAAGCAGTGTTTCCTTACCTTTGTTTTAATTGTTCTTTTCATTTTTAATACTGATAATGTTCCACAGGAAGAGAGTCCTGCTCTTTACAGGTAAGCTCATTGTATATTTTTAGGTATCTGAAATTAACGCATTTTACTAAAGAAAAATTTGGGGCAAAATGCAACAAAATATGTGGAATTGATTAGATGATGTCTTCTGCTTCAGTTACTGTCCAAAGCTCTGTTCTGTTGAATTCTTAGGTTTTTGTAAGTATTTCTCGGCTGAATTTATAACTCTTTCCAGAAGAGAAAATAACCTGTCCTGACTTGCCATTCAGTGCTTGTTCTTGTTCTTGAATGTCTGCTGCACATTTGTATCCAGGAGTACACATGGCACATTAACTTGTCTGCAATCTCCCATCATCATTCTGACTGTAATTGGCCATATTCATTTCATTAATGATTTAGAGCTCAGTAAGAATTGCTTATACGCTAAGCATATGTTTGTATTTGCTGCCATGAGTATGATTTTTTCAATTTTTTTAAACTTTGTCCTTATTGCCAATATATGAGCCCAAATATATTATTTCAAACATTGTAGCAAAATTTTTAAGGTAGTCTTAGTTTTTTATATGTTAATATTTGTGTGTGATTACACTGAATGCAATTCTAATAGGTGGTGTTTCCAGGCAGTTTGGAAAATGTTTTTTTTTTTGGTGCAACACTGCTGAACACTGGAATGCATCTTACATGACCTAACACAGTCCTTCTTTTAATCCATGTTGAGGTAAAATACTGTATTTTTTTTTCTTCTGTATGAGTAGATAATGTCACTATAGTAATAAACTGGTTGAAATTAAGCATTTTCTTTGTTAAGAATATGATTAAAAACTGTTTGAGAACTTTGTTAAAAGGAGAGGCTTGCCTTATGCATATTCTTGCAGAAATAAAACACCATTTTAATAACATTTATTATTTCACAATATAATTTTAGCATAATTTTTTATAAATTCTAGAAGGCTATTGGATTTTTTTAATGGTATATTTTAACATACCACTTACTACATGTTGCCAGCAATTTAATTTTGACTGAGATGTGCTTCTTTTTGACCACTGCGTCATTATGACTTCTTGCAGTGTTCTTGTGAAACTTTTCTGGTCTGAAACCCCAGATGTGCCCTGAACCAGGGGTGGCAGGGAGCATCTGAGTATCAATACTAAGTTATATTGTGGGGTGGGGTTGTAAACTGTAACACTGTAAGGAGCTATGAATAGTTGTCATTTACAATATATCAAAGACCTGAACAGAGTTCACAAGAAGTTTCTATAGATGATGAATAACATGTTTCTCTGCCTGTTCTGCAGATTCATATAATAAAACCGGGTCATTTCACCACCAGTTTTCAGGACGCTTAATTTCTATCAGTTTCTTTTGTCAATTTTGCCCTGCTCTGAATGTTAACATGCAACATGATTTAAACTGAAAATTATATGCCATTAGGTAACAAATTAATGATTCCTTATTTAGGGATATTGTTCTTCAAGATTTGTGTAAAGGCACTCCCTGAGGAATTTGACCTGAAACTAGTGAAACTATCATCTGCCTGTGCCTTGGAATACCCCTGGAGATATAAGTACTCTCTCCTTTTTCATCCCTCTTCCAAAATGATGGTAATGTCTTCTACAGCAGCAGGTAGTAGTATGCATTTACTTAGTATAGAGGGTTGAACACTGTGGGTGTTTAGATGTAACAGGCAATTCTTGTTTCTCTTCCTTTATTTGTATTAAATAGTGTTAAATATTAAGGTTAATGTTATGTTAATATATAAATTAAATAATGTTAGAGCAGATTATATCGAGACTTGTGTAGGTGAGGAGTTTAATATTTGAAAATGTGTAGCTTGCTGAATTTCATGACAGAAACAGCAAGTTTATTCTACATTCTCATTATTTGAATCATCTGCTCTGTCTGCATGAGCAAACTTGATACTTAAATGCATTTATTTTGATAATGACATCAATAACAGGTGTTGGTTTAATAGAAGGTGAACCATCTTGTCAGCCTAGTTACCAAATGACTTTGCTGACATTGTAGTGTTGACTTTTTACGTGAGTCCCTTACATGTCACCTACATGTCTGTGTATGACTTTCCCACCAAAATATAACAGCGCTCTGAGGAATAGACTTGAAACTATGCCAGCATTTTCAGACCCCTATCCTTTTCAAGTAGAAGTGGGACAAAATTGTCAAATACTTCATGTGACACCCTGATACTTGTAGCAAATGACTGATAATAGCAAACATCCCAGACCCACTAGATGTACTCTCGGTTTCATAAGCTGGAGTTGGCTTGTCTTTGTCTAGATCCATTGGTCTGAGTAGAGCTGTGTCTCGGCAAGTTCTAAATGCCTTAAAAGGTGCATTATGATGAGATAAGAAGTGCTTGATCTTAAGGCTGAGGGTTTAACCCAAGTCGTGAGTGGCTGACACCCGTTTGGTAACGCAGTGGGAGGCGCAGTGCCGGTCTGTACCTCAGGGATAAGTTCCACTGTTGGTAGGGACAAAAAGCTGTTCCTGCGTAGATGAGGTTTTGGGGGACACGGGGGTGTCACAGGATCTGGGGAGGTGGAGATAAGCAGCAAGAGGGATGACAGACCGAGGACTAAGAACTTAGATACATGGATACAGCCATGGAGACTTGTGTCTGTGTCGTGAATGTAATGGTATAGCATGGACAGTTGTTTTTCCTTAGTGATGCCAGACATCAACAGCGGATGAATTTATAAGCCGCAGAAAACGTAATAATGCCAACATGTTTGTAGAAGATTTTCTCCACTAATTGGCATGCTGCTATGTGGATGCTGATCCCTGTTATCTTGTTACTTGCAGGCGCTGTGGTAAATCGGAACCTGGGATGACCTGCCCGTTTGAAGGTGCTAGAGCTTTCATAAGCTAAGTTTAAAGCTTGATATTAAGAAAGAGAATATCTGTCTCCAAGTTGGATCGTTAGGGTGGATTGTATCTGTTTGTGCACTCTGGCTCTAGAAATGTCAGCTATATCCCGTACTAACTGCCTATGGCAGTTTTTCGCGGGCGCCTCAGCAGTTCCAGCAGGGAGGAAGCGGGGCCGGATGTTTCTGTTCGGGAGGGACGGGCGGTGCCTGGATGAGACCCTGAGGGTGCCGCGGGGCCGCGCCCGGCGCTTTGGCCCGGGGCGTGTCAGGCCGGGGGCGCCGGGCGGTGAGGCCGCGGGGCCGCGCACAGGCGGCGCGCTCCCGGCGCAGGCGCGCTCCCGGCGGGGGCCGCCCTGCCCACGTGAGCGGCGCGCGGCCAATGGCGCGATCGCGTGATGCGCAGCGCCGGCTGCGCGCGCGGTGGGGCTGCGCAAGATGGCGGCGGGCGCGTGAGGGGTGGCGGCGGCCGCGGCGGAGGGACGGAGGGAGCCGAGGCCCGAAGGGAGCCGGGAGGGGCCGCTGGTGCCGCCCCCGGGGTGCGATGGTAAAATGACCCAGGCGGGCAAGAAGAAGAAGCGCGCCGTGAACCGCAGCATCATGCTGGCCAAGAAGATCATCATTAAGGACGGCGGGACGGTGAGGCCGGGGGCGCGGGGTGGCCTGGGGACGGCCGGCGGCGGCGGGGCCCCGGGCTCCGTGGCGGTCCGGGGGCCGGCCCCGAACGGGTAGGGCCGGTCCGGTGGGGGACGGTGGCCCGCGGGCCTGGGGCGGCCACGCCTGTGTCGGTCGCGGTGCTCTCCCGGCCGCCGCAGCCCCGAGAGCCGCGCTCGGAGCCCAGGCCGGTGTCGGCGGGGCGGCTGCCCGAGAGCGCCTGTCAGCGTCAGGCTGCCCCGCTGCCCAGTAGCGCAGTTCGCTCCTCTGGGCGCCGCGGTTCGGGTCGCCAGTGCGGCCTCGGGCGCCCGGCCCGGGGCACGGCGGGGCGTTACGGGGAGCGGAGCGGCTCCGGGCCCCGCCTCGCCGAGCGGCGCTGCCGTGAGCGGGGGCCGCGCGGGGCGGGCACGGCCGCGGGTGCGGGGCTGCCGGAGGGGCAGGGCCCGCTGGCCCCGCCGTGCCCCTGGTGAGCCTGAACGGGCCCGAGCGGGGCACAGACGCCAGCGCCTGAGCAGTTCCGCAAAGGGGCCTGGGAGAAAGGTTTTGCGGTTCTTCCCACTGTTTTGCTTCCTCGTAAATACATAAATTCGAAAAAGAAAGTAAGTTGTCAAGCGTTTTGGCTGCTGGAGCTTGGAGTTGTTTTGGGTGTGGTTTTTGGTTGGTTATTTTTTATATTGATGAGTGCCATTACTTCCAATGTATCATTGCCCCTGGATTTTTCCACTTTATAGCTTCAGTGTGCCCTGTTCTAAATAGAGTGCCTTTATTTCAAATAAAGAGACATCTTGACAGACTAAATTGCTGATTCAGTTTGTCTTTTTGGAACAAAAATGGAGAAGAGACAGGTGTGAGAGTCACTGTACTTGTTCATCGAAGTGTCCAACTGGCTGGATTACTGAAGTGTTAGGAAGCAAAATGAATTCTGGTATTGGTTGTTGGTGTTTTCCAGGATGTGTTCCTGCTGTTTGTAAAGATAGAAATGTAGGAGATTACCTTGTACAAATGTTAAATGCAAGTATTTTAGATTGAGTAGTACGAGCAGAATAAATGTTCCTCAGGGGACATAGTGCTTCATAATTTCTCTCTGGAGTATCATTGATTAAGATACAGTGTGTTCCCAAGCATCCCTGACCTCTCAAGTTTAACTTTCTTTCTCGAAGAGAGGAGAAAGTATGTTACAATTAACTGCATTCCGTGATACTTTTAGTACATCATTCAGTGCCTTGCCGCCAGTTTCAAAAGCTGAGTGCCAGCTCCCGTAAGTTCTGTATTAATTTAATTATTGGAAAACATGTAAAAATGAGCCATAAACATTAGATTAAGGTACATAGATTGTTGTTAGGCAACAAAAACTTCCACTTGTGATACTTTCTGCATTCAAATAAATGTTTGGGAAATTATTTGTTTTAAATACATATTTTTAAGTTATGAAGTTTGATATAAGAGTGTTCTTTATAACAACAGCAGAAACTTCATGAATTGAATTTTTTTTAATATTTGCTGGAATGTTAAGTTAGCCTTCGGTGCTTCAGTGTCCTCAGCTGCTTCATTCATTACCCAGCATGCTGTGTGACATTGTGGGAAACAGGTATCTGAAAATGGCCCCCGTGTCTTCAGTGTGTCCCACTGGCAAACCAGTAATTAATTAAGCATCTTTGTGCAAACTTTCCAGCCTGATTGGTGTATTTTGAAACTGTTTGACATCCGAAAAAATTGTGTGAGTCAGAATGAACATACAGATGGTTAATGAGGCAGTGGCACAGGCAGAAGGAGTTTCTTATTGAAAACCAAAAAAAAAAAACCCCAAACAAACAAAAAGGAAAACCCATCCATTGTTTCTGCAAAGCCTCTCTACCCACTGCAGTTTCTGCTGGGTCTCCTTGGCAAAGCAGTGGGTGGTGCAGGATCTTGGGTTGGTGCTTGGTGGTATTTTTGTGTTTTTCTATTTGTAGCTGTAGTAGCTGTATCACAGAACGTGTAATGGTATGTTGTACTCAAGAGTGTGTTGTCCGATTTCACCAAAGGAGAGGTAGTAACACCAGTGATGTGGTTTCACAGAATCACAAATGGTTTGGGTTGGAAGAGACCTTAAACATCATCTATTTCCAACCCCCTGCCATGGGCAAGGACACCTTCCAAAGACCAGGTTGCTCAAAATCCCATCTAGCCTGCCACAGGACACTTGCAGAGGTGGGGCAGCCACAACTTCTGTTTCAATACTTTTTTTCCCCCCAACAATTTAAATTTTTCCTTCCTTTATGTATTCATCTTATGTACAATGATGCATTTTTGAAGCAGTCATAAAATGAACTAGAGATCAGGACTTCATTTGGTACCTTTTTCCTTTCCAGTACAGGAGCAGCAGCTGTGGTCTTACACACGATACCTTTGTTGCTTTGATGGTTATTCTGTTGTCACATGTGTGTTCTTAGGCTAGCCTGGCATGTACACTTTTTATCACTGGCATGACTGACAGTACAAAGTGTTTGATAAAAGGCATTCTTGGAGCTCTGGTTGTGCAGCGGGTTTAGCCAGGCACAAATACACTCTGCTCTGGCTGCTGGTAGCAGAGGAGGGTTGCTGTACTCTGACTGGAATATCTCGGTTCCAGATTGTTCACACAAGGGCTCTGTGTCTTTTCTTTCCAGGTCTGTAGCCTGCTGCTTCAGTTGCACTTAGGCCCTTGCATTACACTGTGTTAGCCCATTAGGAAGGCACAGGGGGCACTTTGTAGGGTGGGGCAGGACTGGACACGCAGCACCTGCACTGCAGCTGTGGGCTCCAACAGTGCAT